GGCAGTCAAGCGAGAACGTGGCCGAGGAGAACACGAGGGTCGCGGGAAGCGGCGAGACGAGCTCGCGTGCAGTTCGGAGTGCGAGATGGATGATGGCATCGCACGGTTGAAGGATGGCAACGTCGTGCGGGAGTGGGGTGGTGGTGGTGGGGGGCGAATCTTTATCTGGCAGTTTGACGGGACCACGTTTATACTCCGGTTCTTTGATCCAGTAAATCCTCCCAGTCACGAGCCTCGCTCCATCATTAGTCCGACGCGATAGCGCCTTGTGCTACAAACAACACGACGTGTGTTAACATTGACGTATGACTTGTGCAATGCGCAGCATTTGCCGAGCTTGTGGAGACTTAAAGGAGCAATATTAAATCGCATTCACCTCTCAACCCCGTTTGGAATACTTACATGCATCCGTCCAACTTGTCATTTGCACTGCCAGAACCAGATGGGACTTGATGCGCGTGTCGGCGTCGTATCTCGGAAGCGAAGCAGATCTGAGTCTCGTTAGAAGGTGGATGAGCGAGAGAGAGAGAGAGAAAGTGCTTTCATGAGTTATTGGCTTGGGCTAAGGTGTGGCCAGATGGCGGTAGCCAAGCCGTGTGCTCGCCGATCCATCTGTGCGGATGTTTGAGTGTGCCCTCGGTGGATTCACGTGGGTGCAAAGCCGAACATGAATGGAATTGTTTTTTCGGTAAAGGCACGTAGGTAAAAAATAAATTAAATACATTAATTAAATCACGACGTTTCGGAGGCAACACAAGCTGCCGTCTTCAGGTGGAACCGTCACAGAAAAAATACTGTATCAAATTATGCTGTGACGTTTCCACCTGAAGACGGAAGCTTGTGTTGCCTCCGAAACGTCGTGATTTAATTTAATTTATTAATTTTCTTTTTTACCTACGTGACTTTACCGAAAAAAACAAACAGTATGGACCCTTGTAACGAAAACTTCAAATCTAGAATGAATGGAATTGGCCTAACATCACAATTCGGGACCGTCCTTGAAAAAGGCTTCGTGCTCGGTGAAGCTTGCCGGACAAAATGCATTCTAAAGTAAGTAGTTGTACGTACTTAATTCTAGATTTGAAGCTTTCGTGACTGCAAGGATTCATACTCTTAGTTCTTTCGGTAAAGTCACGTAGGTAAAAAATGAAATTAAACTTAATAAAATAAAACAATAAAATCACGACGTTTCGGAGGCAACACAAGTATCCGTCATCAGTTGGGACCGTCACAGCGAGATTTGCTTAGCTACGTGACTTTACCGAAAGAACTAAGAGTATAGTTGCACGTACTGTCGAAGCGCTGTGCGGGCAACGTCCTTTGGTGACGAATTTATCGGCCACTTAACCCGCGTGTGACGCTACCACGGTGTGATTGGTTAACACACTGGGCTTGCGATCCGGAGGTCGTCGGCTCGATCTCCCGCTGCTGCAGCTTAAACAATGGGCGAGTTTATTTTAAATTATCCCCACCTCATCAATGGGTACACGCAGTCGATCGCCAGGTCGCCTGTGTGTGTGTTACTCAAACCTCTTCGTGGGCGTGGGAGAATCGGTCAAAACTCCTCGCTAAATGGTTCATCTAAAGTGGAGGCTCTTCTGCCAGCAATGATATTGACAGGTAATTGCAGGGCTTCACCTTTACCCGCCTGCATGCACCAAGAGTGCTTGCGCGCCTGCCGGGTGATGTCAAAACAAGCGCACGTGTGAAATAGACCTGAGCACGTGGCGTGCAGCTTGTCGCTACAGCAACTCCCGTATCACAATGGCTCACGACCAGACTCTATGAAATGAACAGCCACCGTAAGTTTTTTTTTTAATGTTTATTGGACGTCGTTGTTCTGCCCCCGTCTCGCGCAGATTCACTTGGCAGTCCGTGATCTCTGGAGCAGTTCAAGTTCAAGTTCATTTATTAGGTATAGCCCTGTGAGCCATTCAGCTCTTGAATCGGGTGCAACCGCAACAAACAAAAAACATGAACAAAAAACATCTTAAAGTGAATATGTGACTAAGTGCAAACAGAAAATTCAAGAAAAGACTGCAAAAATGTTGCACACCCTTCACGCGAAATGTCGGTGCCCGTGTGCTGTCGGCGGTCGGCCTATGCATATGTCAATTGCCCCATACATTTTTATTTTACATTTTATTTATCGAATCGTTAAGTTGTCTGTCCCCGATTTATTCAGACCCACGTCATGGTCAGTGGTCTGTGTGAAAGGGGCTGTGCGCGCGTGTGCGTATTTGTGTGTTCTTGACTTGATGTAAAATTTGTGTGTATGGTTTATGGCTGAGCAAATGAATTTCCAGCGATGTCAAATTTATTTGCATATCACCGCTCAATACGGAATGGGGCGCTTTTGAGCAAGCGTGCTATAAGCGCCAGTTTTAACATCAAGTGGAGTTTATGGAGAGGAAATGACGTGAATTTTCATGCCCTGTTTTATTTATTACATGTAGTTTTTATACAGGATGCATATGACGTGAATTCGCGAAGTGCATTGTATTGCACATCGACTTAATGGCATAGAAGACCCTAAGGTGGTTGGCAAAGGTGCAGCCCTGCAACTGCACGCGAATGCCGCTGCTGGAGGAAGAACCTCCCACGAGTGAGCTGTAGAGAGCACCTCGGAAAGGTGAAGTATGTGTACAAACAAACAAAAAAAGAAATCTCACAGAGCCGACACGACGAGGAGAGACATTTAATCCAGCAGTGGATTGACACGTGTCACTAAATACAAACATATGGTATGTAAAGTATGACGTGTACCCTGACGAAGACGCTTATTTAAAAGTGCATTGTTTTTTGGAAGACGAAAGCGCTGTTCCGTCATGGGAGACGTAAAGGGAGTACGAGTCATAGTTCACAAATTTTGGCAACCTCAACGCACTGTTAATGCCGATAATTATTCTCTCCCGATGACATTTAACCATTTGAGGCCCATTGGTATTTTTCCCCTCCCAAAGTAACTTGGTTAGTGCACAGTTACATAGAGCGACTATGCATTTGTCTCATTTGGTTGCGAATAAATTTCTCATTCGATTTTTGCAATTGAGATATGCGTAAAATTGCTACTTTATACTGTTTTCTATGATGTCGTGAGACTGAACATCAACTTGATGTGAGACGTGCCGGCATGCTTCGTTATTGCTCGTAGTTGGGACAAGGGTCGGTTGTGGGAATGAACTGCGTGTGACCTGGCTCGCCACTTCTGAAAGAGTGTTACGATTCATCTTCTTGGTTCTTTCGGTAAAGTCACGTAGAATGGAAATGATAAAATAATAAAAATACAACATAATAAAATAATTCTCACGACGTTTCGGCCACAACGCAAGCAGCCGTCATCAGGTGAAAACAGGTCTGTCGAGACGGCAGAGTCTGAATGACACACCCCAGGCTTGGAGGACGGCTGCTTGCGTTGTGGCCGAAACGTCGTGAGAATTATTTTATTATGTTTTATTTTATTATTTTATCATTTCCATTCTACGTGACTTTACCGAAATAACCAATAAGATGAATCCCTGCAGTCACGAAAGCTTTAAATCGACAGTGTTACGATTGTTTTGTCTACATCGACACAGCGCTATATAACCATCCAATTATGGCAGCTTCGGGAGAGAAGAAAACGTTGCTGGGGCACGGCAGACGCGGTCACCTCCTTCATCAAAGGAAAATGAAGAACAATCCGCAATGTGACTGCTACGGTCACCAGAGACAGACCATCAGTCCCACAATGCAGCACGGCCCGCGACTCCGTTTGAATGACATTTAAATACCTCGATAATCACACGCGCGAAATGTAGCTACTTCCACCCTCCCATAGGAAAGGAAGGAGAAACGATGCCCGCAGTAGCGCGTGGCGAAAGATCGGGAGAAGAATTTCTACAAAGGCGCAACCAAAGCCGGGAAACCTCACTTGGGATGCAAGCGACTGCGACAACGCTGCGTGTGAAACAATTACATAGAGAGCCGCGTTGCCTTCAATCATTGCTTCTTTCTTTCAGACTGTGAGTGCTTTAAAATAACAGTTGCACAACGTTGATTACGCGGCGTGTTTCTTTACCCAATCCTTAATGTGCATCCAAATTACACCGTCGACTGGAAATGTTGTACATAATCGAGCAACCCAGCGGCGATTAGGTACTTGGCCTCTGATGTAATTGGCAAGAGTAGAGAGCATCCGGTTATGGGTGGTGTAGAAAGAAAGCATTTACACTTCCTCCTAACTATATTTAGTCCTATCGCTGTCGTTCGGCGTGTGAATATAGCAGCACTAATGTAGTCATCCAGTGCCAATTGTATCCAGGGTGTGTGTGTGTGTAAAACTGTCCTGAGCTAAAATTATGGCCATTCGCCAAAGTGCCATTTAAGCAATTGTGGCTTCCGATTGTGTATAGAGACGGCAGATAATGACCGATTAAACTTAATATCATAATCGTGGTACTTATTGCAAACACTAACCGTTATTTTTGTTGTGTGAAGCTGAGAGAACGTGTGGATTGAATAACACTGGAACGAAGCCGTTGCACTTTTGTTAAATTGAAGAACCATTCCTCGTGGTAAATTTTCATTGGTTAAACTATATAGTCAGAAAATGTGAGACTATTAACACGTTCTTCATTACAATACATTTATTTAATAGTGAACTATAAACGGCTTCCAAAATGCGAACCGCCAATGCGTGAGAATTGAAAGAAAAACACGTAATAATATCTAACCGTGTCGGGTGGAGAAAAGGTTCATGGTTACGCTTAGAATACAAATATTAACCTATCCAGGAAAGCCTCACGACCGGCTCCAAGGGGTGGGGGGGGGGGGGGTCCTGCTTAACGTGTTTTTTTTGCGAATTCCTTTTCTATAGATGGATTTACGCCCGAGAGTAAGCGGCACACCTGAAGAAGCCTAATACAATAGCAGGGGGGGGGCGGGGGGGAAACGCCCCGAAATCTAAACAAATAGGGCTACCCTCCGCTGGTCGTACTGACTTCTACGGGGCACCTGGAGGCAGGTGGCTTGCCGCGTACACGATGATCTTTGTGTGATCCACCAACACCCCGACAGAGAACGCGGGCACCACCCAGCGATCTAAACTACGTAATAGTATGTGCCCTAATGTATCCTGTGTGCGATATTTGGTGCGCATTATAGCCCTCCGACGTGCCTGGCTTGTTCGCTACTCGTGGTTGTTGCGGGCGCGACCCGCAGCCGTAACGCCGCTCGTCAACCTGTAGATCGCGTCCGCGCTGTTCGCCGTCAAATTCTCATCCCGACCGCCGCCAAATATGCGTGCGGAAGCGTGGCGCTCAACATGCGGGGAGAGGCTCTCAACTCGTCGTCCTGCACGCCCACCCACATCACCGCACCTCCTCCTCCTCCTCTCCCTCCTCCTCCTGCTCCTCCTGCAGTGCCGCCACCCCCTCCTCTGCCTTCCCCTCCTTCCATGAGCTTCTTTTGAGGGAAGACAGCCCGCGTCGCCTGGAGCCCCCTTCGTTGAAATAAAGAAAACTAAATGAAAAATACAAATAAATAAAATCTGCCGACACTTACGGAATGTTTTAGGATTGGGGTAAAACGCGTTTGATTGCCGATTCGGAAATCGATCGCGCGCTTCTCGTTTTTGAAGTGAATGAGCAGCAAGTCATGAGCTGCTCTGACAACAACTGATCGGTTCCTGTGGTCGAGGTTCTGCGCAGTCGAGGTAAGAATCGTGGGGAAACGCCCGAGCAGATTTATTTACCCGCCCTGATTTCTACGATACTAAGTTTGGACAATCTCGTCCGCAGCCGAGTACACGTTGTACTCGCGTGCATTAAGACAGTTGCGCGTTGATTCATGCAGTCATCTGTGTGTGTGTGTGTTCTATGACGTTAACGCTTAATCTCTAAAGGTGGTCATCGCCCATCATCTATGCGAGTCGTGTAAGCCACGTCTCAAAGCGCTTGTATAAACGGTGTGTGCACTAATTGTGGCTATAGACTTGATATCGCTCCTCGCATGATTTTGGCTCAACAGCTCGTCGCGTGCGATTTGCTGAGCTCCTCCAGCTTCTACGTAACAACAAGGATCGAGCATTTGTGTTTTTTTAATTATATAAATGTGCACTTAAAGACGTATGTTTGTGGAGAATGAAGCATGCGCTCAGATACGGTGTCGGCTGTCCACAGATTGTGTAGCGCACAACAACCACGGACAATTTGCCTCCGCGCGTTGACAGCTTTGCAATGTGACATTGAAGTCATTCGTGTTGCAAACGTTTTCACATCGAGGCTGAAGGCGACGCGGGGGGGGGGGGCGGTAGAAGAATATTACAAGAATAAGTAAAAGGCAATGTTACGCATAAACATGTTTTGCTATTATTTAAAAATGTGTGTTTTTGTTGTCTAATATTAGTTTAATAGTTGTATAGTAAGGCGTGGCTTTAGCAGCGGTGCGGATTATGTAACGTCAGCACCCTGGACAGCGACACGGCGCTGAACCAGAGGTCCCATTCAAGGCATGTAGTACGAGCTCGCATTGAATGTGGTGCTTTATTCCTAACCAAACGAACGATATTAATTCGTAAAAATGCTGAAGCCAAAACCACTTTCCAAAATACATTTAAAGAAATTCCATAACGTTATGATGTCATGAACTGACCTTGGCAGCATTATATTGCGTTTAGTATTGCACTGCCCTTAAACCATAACCCCTCTATACACAGGATTTTAGTTATTGCAAACGAATATTGCAATTCACGAATTAAATATATGCAAATGACAGTGAATTGCATACGCTTTAAATAGATCTCTGTGCAAGTGAAAGACAGTCGCTTTTGAAACAGAACACATAGCGTCTATGAATGTTACTTTTTACACATTGGCCGCGCTGGTCTTCATCAGAATAGCTGCAATTACAATAGCCGTGGCATTGCACACAAAAACAAGTGTTGTCCTACATGCAAGTGTTAGACAATTTTACCTTTCTCTATTTTTTATGGTGAAAACTGCACGATTTATCAATGTAATTGAACAAATCGGGAAGACGAAGCGATTCAGCCGTGCTTTTGAACGTGCAAATGTACCACCCTCGTTGCATCAAGAATCCAGAGTTGTGAGATGCAGATGCATTTATACGCCGTTATAGATAAAAAACATTTTATTTCTGAGCTTTAGTTAGTCGCTTTAACCAAAATGTGGTGATCTTTGGCAAATAAATACGCGTATGGAATGCGGATTCTATATGAGTATGGATCTATAACGTGTTAGCTGCTTCATAATGTAAAATATTGCACGTTCTTTTTTATGATTTTTTCCGTTGTCTTTGATGTTTCTGAAAAAAAAAAACATCGAAATTGAAGATGCGCATTCTGAACAAATTTAACGCATTCCACTTTGGAGCATTTCTCTACCGCTAAGTGACATTTCACATTGTTTTTTTTTGGTTATTCTTTCCTTCTAAATCATTTTTTTTTATAAAAAATGAAATGTCTAAAACTCAACAACTTTCCGAATGCTCAAGGCTCACGCTTGTTCAGGCTGTCGTACGAGGGACGGTGAGCTTTGGGTTCTCCGCGCCTCTGAATTCTCGATGGAACATTGCGTACGATTCGTGAAATATGCGTGCGTTGTGAATTGTGTGTGTTTCTTTAAATTGGGCTATTAAAATACACGGTAATGTAAGGCTCGCCGTAATTACACCACGTTTAACATAATAAGTGAAACCCCATGTAAGACTTATGTAATAAACACCAACGTTATTATACAATTTAAGGCTATATTACTCATCTTAATGAGTAAAATAAATATTCAAGTATTATAATATAATTGTAGAATGTTTCAATTCAGTAATGCATGAAGGCATCTTCCCCATTTTATCGTCGGTCACAGGGGTTGTTTGACCATATTTGACCACGCTGCTTAGTGCCGGTTCATGAATCTGGGATAGGGGGGGGTGTCTAGATCCGATTCAACTATCACTGGCCGCTGGTATTAGCCACGGACAGAAATCAACCTCAGGTGGTCGAGTTCGTGGGCGTAGTGCGTTAAGCGCTGCGCCACCGGTCCACGAATTCAAATATATTGTCTTGCAAATAGAGTAACGACTTCATCATTACAACGTGCGTGCGTTCCGGCTCTAAAATGTAGTTGTTATCTTTGTCTATAAAGACATGTTGCGAGTGTGTTAAACAGCACGCGTTGTGCGCGGTGTGTAAGTGCCGTGTTTTGTGGTTTGTAGAGCGCAAACAAGATGGTGCGTGTGCGCCTGATCATCCTGGTCTTGGGCTGCATCGCCTCGTTCCGCTCGGCCACCGCTTGCCCGGAGCCCTGCAAATGCCTGGACAAGTTCGTGCACCAAATTGCCAACTGCGCCTACAAGCAGCTGGAGACGGTGCCAAAGGGGCTGCCCGCGAACATAACCTCGCTCAGCTTATCCGCGAACCGCCTGCGTAGCCTATCACGAGACGCCTTCGAGGAGATTCCGCTCATGAGTTCCCTGTGGCTGTCCCACAACGAGCTGGTGAGCATCGAGAAGGGTACCCTGGCCGGCCTGGTGCAGCTGCGCAACCTCGACCTGAGCAACAACCAGCTGGCCGACTTCTCGTGGGAGGACCTGCGCAACCTGACGGCGCTCCAGGTGCTCAAGCTGAACAACAACAATCTGGCGCGCCTTCCTCGCGACGCATTCGAGACGCTGACCGACCTGCGATCGCTGCGTCTCCACAACAACCTGTTCGCCACCATCGAGGAAGGCACCTTTGAGAACCTGCACGCCCTCTCGCACCTGCTTCTCTACGAGAACCCTTTGCGGTGCTCGTGCAAGGCGCGCTGGCTTCCGGCGTGGCTCAACACCACCTCGATCGACATCCCCAGCAAGGAGAAGATCGCGTGCGCCGAGCCGGACGAGCTGAAGGGGCAAGCCGTGCAGCAGATGCCCGACGTCGAGTGCGTGGCTCCCACCGTGCGGCTCACCAGCAGCCCGGACGTGCGCGAGACTCGCCTCTACCCGGACTTCGCGGTGGTCCTCGATTGCCAGGCCGATGGCCTCCCCGCGCCCACCGTCTCGTGGAAGCTGCGCAAGGACGGTGGCGAAGTCGACCTGGGGGTCTTCGACGAGGAAAAGGTCCCCGAGGAAGCGGCCGTCGAGACCAACGACGTGCTGGACAAGCGCGTGATGGCCTTCAGGAACGGGACGCTGCTCATCCCGCAGTTGAGCGAGAGCGAGGAAGGCGCCTACACCTGCGTGGCGACCAACGACATGGGGGAGAGCTCGGCGAGCGCTCGCATCACGCTGGCGCAGCGCGGCGGCTACGAAGCGCGGCAAGGCCAAAGTCAACCCGCTCCTCGTCCCGGGAACGTCGAAGAAACGCAAGTACGCCTCGTCTCAAGCGAGCATCACCGACAAGAAAGGCGCCGGGAAGGATCGCGCCGGCGGCTTCGTCGAGAGGAACGACGTGTCCGCCCACGGCGACAGCGACGACGACTACGACTATAACGAACACGGCGCGCCCTTCCCGACCCCGGTGAACACGGCGTGCGCGCTCAAGCACGCGGGGGGTTCCCCGCTCGAGCAGGCGCTGAATGGGACCCCCGTGCCGGCGTTTGGCTACGAGCAGCGGCACCGCTTCGAGTTCGGGGTGATCGCCCTCGAGGTGTCCGACACGGACGCGCGTGTCCAGCTCACCCCAGGTGCCGCGCGGCGGCGACACCAAGCGCGCGCTGCCTGTGCGCCAGGGCGACAGGGGTTGGTCGGCCCTCAAGCAGCAGCAACAGCAGCAGCAACAGCAGCAGCAGCAAGCAGCAGGCGAACGGCAACCTGGGTGCCGCGGCGAAATTCGAGATGATGTACCTGTGCACGGGCGACGCGCCTGACTCGTCGCCCGTGCAGTGGTCGCTGGTGCAGAGCGAGGTGCACTTCTACCGCTTCCACGGCCTCAAGCCCGGCACGCAGTACACGCTGTGTCTGAGCCACGCCGGACAGTCGTGCGAAGTGCAGGTGCCCTTCGAGACGCGCAAGCGCATCCCGTCGCTGCTCATCATGGTGGTGGTGAGCTCCTTCCTGCTGGGCCTCGCCACCATCCCGCTGCTGGGCGCCGCCTGCTGCCACCTGGTCTACCAGTACCGCGCCAAGACGTACAAGCCCATGGAGAAGCCGCAGCAGCAGCAGCAGGAGAAGACGGGCAACGGAGGCGGCGTGGCGCAGGCGGCCGCGCGGGTGGTGGCCGGCGACCAGCGGGTTGTGCACTGCGCGCAGCGGGACTCGATGTGCGACTCCATCGGAGAAGTGGGCGACCACGCGAGCCTCCAGCCCAGCGAGGAGGAGGCGTCCATCGCGCCCGCGGGGTGCAAGGACGATGCCGTCCAGTTCGACCTCGAGTCGGAGTGCAGCGATCGCCTCCCGCTGGGCGCCGAGGCCGTGAACATCGCGCAGGAGATCAACGGCAACTACAAGCACCCGGCTCGCTGAGACGCGAGAGGCGACTCGGTGGCGTAGCGCGGTTGGGCATTGGGGCCGTGGTGCAGAGGAAAGAAATGGGGGGGGGGGTGGGGAGCCCCCTGTTCAATATTTACCCCTCGTTCATCCGACGCATGGGCACCTCCGCCCCTATACTCATAGGGCCCGTGTGCAGTTGCACCGCCGGCACACTCGATGGTAGCTACGCCGCTGACCCGACCGTCTCCGCTCTGGTTCCCCTCTGATGATGTTGTTGTTGTTTAAGATCGCGCGAATGGTCTTTTTAAGCAAACAAACACTTTTTTGTTTGTGTCCTTTACGGTATTCAAATTAAGATACGCACACATATATGCACCACATACTTTATCAATCGGATTTGAAGCTTTCGTGACTGCAGGAATCCATACACTTTGGTTCTTTCGGTAAAGTCACGTAGGTATAAAATAAAATAAAATACGTGACTTTACCGAAAGAACCAAAGAATATTTATCAATCGGCTTTGCCATGTGTCTCAAAAGGTGACGATAATTCGAGTGTACGTAGCGGCTTTACACCCCCCCCCCCCCCCCCAGCCCATATCAACCCTCGTAGACGGCACAGCTGGAACCAAAACACCAAGGGGCGAGCAAAGCGATAGAATAATAATAATAATACGACTCGGGCCGATTCGGCAGCGGCGCGACGCGACACACCACACACACTCGGGTGCATCGAGGCGACATCACGCGTTCCAATTCGTAGTCCACTTCAATTTGAATGAATGTGCGGTGAAGCCCTCTGCCAATCCTCTTCTGGGTGAGCGGGTCCAGGACCGGTTCCGCTAACGGTCGTCATCGATGTCGTTCGGACGTGTGGTCGAGAATCGACCTCGGGCGGAGTTTCACAGCGCTGCGCACTAACCAAACCACTGCGCCACCGCTCCATCCAAACGCATTGCTATTGAAGGGTATACGTTACAGCCTAGTTATAAGAGGTGTAGGCGACAGTAACAAAACTAAACTCATGGCTTGATGCTGAGTTCTTGACCTGTTTTTAAAGAGTACTTGTGGTCTGGCTGGATTGTATGCATTGGGGGCACAAACCGCCTCTCGTTGCATGTCGATCACGACCCAATCGAGGCACGCACCGGTCACTTTACCTGCCATGAACAACAGCGCAGGTTCTTCACCAGTTTGCTACGCGTGGCAGTCATGTCGCAAAAGCGTCCGTGTTTTTTTTTTACTACCTACATCAGATTTCAGTTTTTTGTCCAATGGACACATATGATCTTGATTTGAAGCTTTCGTGACTGCAGGGATCCATACTCTTTGGTTCCTTCGGTAAAGTCACGTAGGTGTAAAATAAAGAGTATGGACACACATGCTGAAGATTTCTGTTTTTGCCACTTGTATTTTCCAGCGGATGTGACGGAACGTATTTGTTGAACTTCTTTCGCACCGTACGTAGCCAGCCTTCCATCGTACGTAGGTGCGATGGAGGGAAAACAAACCAAACCTTAACAGCAGTTCAAAATAAATGAGTTTTCAATCTCGATCATTTAAAAGTGCATAGCTCCAGTGGCTTCCTAATATCGGAAGGAAGAGCGATTCCAGACGGCCGCAGAAGCGCATCTGAAAGCGTGAGATGCCGTGACCGTCTATTGAACGCTCCCTGTGTAGTTAAGTGCGCGCGGCTGTCGTTTGGAAATATTTAATTCAGTCATGGAATAATTTTCGCCCCTCCCCTACCTAAAACCCTTCCATTACCTTGAGAACAGGGCGGAGGGGAGGGGGTGGGGGGGTTATTTTCCAGAGCTCAGCCCCGGTTGAAATGAATCCCTTGGTCTGTAACGTAGCTTAACGCTGTGGCTTTAGCGATGTACGCAACGTAGTCTCAGGAGTGACATTCGTGAAACACTCAACACAGGGTTGACTGGCGTTGCTTGTTTCGAATTGCGCTGTGCTCTAGATGTCATCCGTTTTTCAGGTTAAAGTACGTGGCTCTGTGCATTCAAGGCAGATTATATATACAGTATATATATAAGCCGACAGTTCAGTGTCATGTCTTTTTTCCTATTAGCACTTTCGATGCCTTGACAAGCTATAGTGAACAACATGCTATGTTGTGAAGCATAACATTGAGAAAAAAATGTACGATAACGTCAGTCTATAAACATTTGTACTAGTTCTGTTAGACACGTTCTGTCTCTCGTATGTATTTTACTGGGTGTGTGTGTTTTTTAATTTAAACAAAAACAAACTAAACAATGTAAACTAAATCGGTTGCATAATTTGTGCGTGGTTTTTTTTTAAATCAAACTAGGGGCGAGGATCGATGCTATTCCAGGTTTTATTATTACGATGGATTTCATGTGATGGCAAACATCCGGCTCGACTCAAGGTTTTTTAAAATCTTTTTACCCGTCTGTGTATGAGTACGTAGATGTGCAACAACAGGTCGCTTGAGTTTAACACGTGGCAGGCTTTCGCGACCAATATCATTCATAATAAAGGTTTTTGGGTCGATCGCCCAAGTATAAATGTGTCGAAACCTCCACCACCCGACACAGCCAATTAGTAAGGGATTTGTCACGTAAACAAAACGCCAATTAGTTTTGGCAAAACGCCAAATAGTAACGTCGTTTTGTTTACTAATTGGCTGTGTCGGGTGGAGGAGGGTTTCGACACATTTATACTGACGCGATCTAACACCAAAACCCTTCATTATGAGCTCGCTTGAGATGAACGTTTTTGTTTACAAACCTGTACATACAGTTGTGATCCACAGCTTTGTCCATCCGTACGCGTGCGACGACTCTCGCCATTCGTAAGGCTCTACCTTTGCAGGAGGGAGAAGACGCACGAATTCCCCGCTGATCATTGCAAACGAAAAAAAAGGGGTCAAGGTTCATCCATAGGCGGAGTTTGACTTCTATATTGGCGGGGCGGGGGGGGGAGTTTCGCTTTGTCCGTCACAATACGAATCGCGGGTGCATATAATTGCGTTTTTAAACTTAATTGTAAACTACTGAATATAAATTCGTGAAGGCGTCCAGTTTAGGTGGGGTGGTGTGCCCCCCACTCCGCAAACTGGGGCCGTGGCCGTTCATCTCGCCACTCTGCTGGCGGAAGGGCCGCTCGAGTCGAAGCGGGTCACAGCGGCAGCAGCAGCAGCAGTTCGGCGTGACCGGCAGCAGGTCGCGTGTATCGTGGTCGGGTGTGGGGGTTCTCTCCAACCTCGTCCAAGACGGTGCTCGCCTGGCCAGAGTGGGACAACTTCCCTCGAGAGCTCCGTGGTTAAATTTCGATTTAAAGCTTTCGTGACTGCAGCGATTCATCTTCTTGGTTCTTTCGGTAAAGTCACGTAGAATGGAAATATTAAAATAAAATAAATAAAACATAATTAAATCATTCTCACGACGTTTCGGCCACAACGCAAGCAGCCGTCCTCAGGTGGAGAATAGGTCTGTCAAGGAGACAGAGTCAGAATGACAAGTCCCAGGCTTGGAGCGACTATTCATGCTGGGATGGAGAGGGCGAAGAGCGCCTTGACAAAATAATTTGCATATCAAGAGGAATTTAGCATATTTATGGCAAATGCAGATATGCTATAGTATCTAGTGCTTAAAGTTTTGTGGAATCCCACCCGTAGTGGTGGTTAAATTTCGATTTAAAGCTTTCGTGACTGCAGCGAGTCATCTTCTTGGTTTTTTCGGTAAAGTCACGTAGAAGGGAAATAATAAAATCTTTCTTTACCGAAAGAACCAAGAAGATGAAGCTCAGTGCTTCTCCTTAACCTGCGGTGCACGCACCCACTGGGGGTGCGAGATGCCCTCTCTGGGGGCGCCATGCATGGCCAGATTTTTTTTTATATGAGGTAAATCATCGAAAACACACAGTGATCACGGGCACGTAAGTACAACTACTTTGTTTCATAAAACCTATGTGTTTATTAACATTATAAAAAATGTTTACGATTAAGTACCCAAAGGGATGCATGGCTGCAGTAAAGGTTAAGAACCATTAAGTGACGAGGGAGCGCTCTCAAATTTCCGTCGGAGTCGAGAAGAAGGAGCGGAGGGGTGGTGGGGGTATTTGACCTACTCTTCCAAAGCTGGTCAGACAACGTCTTGAACGAGGTGGAAGTAAAACCTTGACTTAAAGCTTTCGTGACTGCAGGAATTCATATTCCTTGGGTCTTTTCGGTAAAGTCACGTAGATGGAAACGTCATAGTTTTTGTTATTTTTTTTTAAACCTATCTACGTGACTTTACCGAAAGACCCAAAGAATACGAGGTGGAAGTAACCACACACCTTCGCCCCCCCCCCCTCATACACGCGACCTGCTGGTCAACTCCACGTGTATACTGCGAGGTGGACACAGGGGCACACGTGGCACACGTGGCACACGTGGCACACGTGGCACACGTGGCACACGAGGCACACGTGGCACACGTGGCTGTGACAGGCGTGGTGGGTGATTGCGCGAGTATCGCGGCGAGGGCGAATGAGATGAATGTCCAGTAGAAGGCAGCACAGCAAGTAGGGCTATCACCCCCCCCCCCCGTCTTCTGTGTGTGAGTTTCTCAGTGCAATCCAATTTTCTCCCATGTATACCATGTGCCCAAATGGACTTTAGGCTAATATCCCCAGGCCAAGACCTTCCTGGGGAAAAAAAAAACACATTGAGACCACACTATTACTACAAGATTGTTGTTCACGTTGCTTGCTGAAACCAGAGCTCAATTCTCTTCGTAGTCCGCACAGTGCATTAATAACTTGGCCTTACAAGCAACCGCTTTCACAAATCACCACATGGCCAGCAAACACGTGGAAAGCATTGATGCATAGCTCGGGTTTGGACATGCGGATACTATTCTAAGGATGTGTATATATAAATTTCGATTAAAAGCTTCGTGACTGCAGGGATTCATCTTCTTGGTTCTTTCGGTAAAGTCACGTAGAAGGAAAATAATAAAATAATGAAAATGAATACATAATAAAATTATTCTCACGACGTTTCGGCCACAACGCAAGCAGCCGTCTTCAGGTGGAGAACAGGTCTGTCGAGAACTCTGCCCTTTTCGACAGACCTGTTCTCCACCTGAAGACGGCTGCTTGCGTTGTGGCCGAAACGTCGTGAGAATATTTTATTATGTTTTATTTGTATTATTTTATTATTTTCCTTCTACGTGACTTTACCGAAAGAATCAAGAAGATGTAATATACTGTATAGTTTTTGTTGTTGCTATTCCACTCCTGGTTTGGTGGCAACACTCTCCACCCACCATGCCGTGCAGCTCACCGGTGTTCGCTGACCACGCTGCTCGGTTTCGGCTTGGTCGAATGCAGTTCCAAAGAAAATTGATTTCGCTGCACTGCCTTTCGGCTGTCCGCAACGCTTCCAAGCCGCTCGCATCTCACCTGGTTTTAATTCCTTATCGGAATCTCCATCTTTAATTCAGACCGCTCCCGTCATTCGATTTGATCGCCCATTCCAAGCACTGTTCAGAACTCAAGCCCGGTTTCGCTTTGAGTATCTGATGGTAATCGTCGTATTCCACGTGATGTTGTTTTGTTTTAGCCGTCAGCTTTATGTAGGAGAATTCAGCAATTCGCGAGTCGCTCGACGGCAATTATGGCCCCGATACTCTCTGCTGCCGATGCCTTCACAAGCTCGACAGCCTTCATGAGCAAACACCGTCTAGTTACGACTTGCTCTAAAACAGGCCGGATGAAATGTTTTTATTTGGTAGATATTTTCAACATTGACGATACGCGTGTGTATGTGTAGTCTTAACTTTTAGACGCCTCGATGTCCGTGATGTTACCTTGTCTTTTGTACAAAGTGCAAATAAACGCGTAAAATGAAACGTTCTTTTTTTAAACATGAAATCCATGGTAATATTTGTTCAAATGCAACACGTTTGGATGTTGTGTTCAGGCAAGGCAGTGGTATATGTACTTTGTAAATGATGTGCGTGTGTGCACGTCTGGTTATGCACCGTGGGTGTGTTTTGGTCCATGCAATGTTTAGTGCATGCATATGTCCATTAACAATGGGGAGCAACACGACTTTAAGTGGTAATAAAACAAAGCTAAGTTTATTTTCTATTCATCCTTGTTTGCATTTGATTACATTGTCAGCGTGTGCATTTTTAAAAGTAGATCGAGAAACACAACTGTTGATACATTCATTAACAAAATATATATGACGGTGCATTGTTCTTCGTGTTATATTCATGTTTTCTGATGGCAATTTATATAGCTGAATTGAAATAAAGTACAGTATATGTACCCCTAATGGTTCAGCAAGTGAGTATTGCATGCAATTTGGTTCGTCTCATTAGTGTTACGTTTCCCACACTGCACACTTTCAATGTCTGGATGATCTGCCAGTGTTAGGGATTTCGTTGTTTAGCACAAACTCAGATCTTTTTTTTCAATTCTTTTGTAAGCTTGCTAATGAACGCTCACTGCCAGCATGGTACAGACATACTTTTACAAGTACAGTCTCGTTAATGCTAAGCACAGTTTAGTGCCAAGTATTGCACTGCATTTCCAATGCGTGACTTGGTGTGGCAATGTATTGTGTCTGGCGGGGGGGGAGGGGTGCAGTGGTTAGCGCACTGCGCTATGAACCTGGCGAAACCGAGTTTAATTGCTGTTCACAGTCAACATTGGTGATGAATATCGGCAACACATCCTGGGCCTCCCCTAGGTCGACTCAGCCTTAAATGAGTAGCTGGTGTGGTGTGTAAACATTAGCGCTGGGGAAGACAAAGGCAGCCGGGCGTGGTGCTGGCCATCCAACCCCTCGTGTGCCGTACTGGCCTTGAATAGGTGCTCGCTAACAGTACTATCCCCTACAGTCTGTTAAAGGCTATACGGGTGATCTTTGTCTGCACATATTCCGCACTTGCAGCAAAGGATTAAAACGGCATTCGTGTAAATTTGCATTCATAATTTTGTAAAAAAAAATGAACAGTGAAAGGAGAGTAGCTTTATCTGTTTGCCGTTTGTTATTTTGGCACATACAAATTAAAACTTTGGCAAATGACAAATATTCGATGTAACATTTTCTGCACTTGGTTTAGATTTAAAAAATGATGCTTCAGGGAGCTACATTGTGCAATGGTGCTGTTGTGAACGATTAGCAATCATCTCTGCAAATGCTAAACGCACACACACACAAAAACCCCACCTCTGCTGCTTTAATCATTGCATGAGCTCTGGTGATGGATGAGAGCAGCCAGAGAAAAAAGACCCGGCCACACACCCAGTACCCACTTCACTACGACCTCAGCAAATTTCCGCTTTAGGCTTCCAGCCTTTCTTCGATTGCTGTCGGACACACTGATTAGCGCGTCACTTTGTCAGGGAAGGCGCTGCCCCACCGCCCCTCTTTGTGAACGAGAGGCACCCAGGCGCTCGCGGTTCCACGTGTTCTGAACTGTCTATCTTCTCTTGCGCTTGTTTTGGCGTCGTCATTGTTCAACGTTTGTACATTGTCCGTGCATAGTGGTGAGATGTTAACTACCTCGACTGGTAAGCAGGAGTGCGTAGGTTCGATCCCGACCCTGACGCCTGCTGTATATTTGGAGAGTTTGCATGTCTCTCTCCACCGTGGATCGCGTGGATTTTTCTCAGAGTCCTGCGAGTTTTCCCTCCACATTTATAATCCAACATCACGCGTTTAGAGTATTTGGCTGCTATACATTTTCACACGATAAGCCACTTCGTTAAGCTATCATTTGTGACCAGGTCGCTTCCGACACAGAGCTATACACCTCAATGGGCCTTACCTGTTCAAATAAAAATTGTCGTTTAATTCGTTTAGTTTCATAATTTTCACTACATTCGACTGCAACTCATAACTCCCCGTCGTTATTCTCACTTTTTTTTTTCGTAATAACGTAAATGAACTTTAACTGAACGAACTTGATTTTTTAAATCCTTTATATTAAGTTCGCTTGCTTGCTTGCGTGCTTGAGTGCTTGCTTGCTTGTTTACGACCGTGCAAATCTTTTGGTCGTTTTTTAACCCACTTCCCGTGATCCAATCGAGCTGACATTTTCCACACAGACTCGTTGTGCGTGACAATTAATTTTCGTGAAAAAAAATGTCCAAAATTTTACACTTTTTAGGACAAAAATATTATATCTAATTACCAATTGCTTAATGCTGGCAGACAATCATCTGACCCATAGGTGGCAGCCATCTCAAGCCAGAGGACGAGAGGACTCTAGCCGCCACGCATATAAAGGATTTATAGTGAAAAACTTTGTTTTTACGGGTTAATTTTTGTTGTTGTTAACACCACTAACGTATCCGGCTCATCATTGTCGTCAGCGCCAGCAGCCAAAACCGTCAACATCTCTTCGCGGACGATCTCGCCATTGTAATAAGTCGAGCACGGTGACGATTCAGTCTTCTAAGAGAAGACTGATGGATACGACAACTAAATGTACCTACACAGACCTACGACCATAATCAAAGGACTTGCATTACCGATGAAACCTTAAGGGGGAGAGAGCGGCGTTGGCATTTGTACACAGATACAAATCAAACAGGCTCACCATGCACACGTCATCGACGCCGGTTTATATAACAAGGAAAGCCATTAATACGCCGATATGTTGAGGAGCATTAGTAGCTTTCTCATATATTTGTTTTTAACTCATGCAGTGTTAATCACGAATGCAGTGAATATTTTAAGAGAGTTACAAAAATCCAGGCACGTGGCGTTACAATGATTCACATTACCGTTGTTTGTGTACACGTGCTTTCATGTAAAATCTAGGCTATGGATTCACCTTGTATATGGTTTAATTGCACTTGCACAAAATCTGTCACTCCATCGTAACCTGCTGTGTCTAAAGCTTCTAGATGTGCATTCTGTTTCTATATAATTAGCAATAGGAACAATTTATTGCTGGATAGGGACCTCTCCATGCTGCGTTGGTCATGGAGGTTGTTTGACCATATTTCACCACGATGGTCCATTCAGACTGGTTAAGGGGGGAGGGGGGCTGATGGGGGGTGAGTGGCTTCAACCTAAGATGTATTTACAATTTACGACGCCGTGTAATGTAACGCAAATTCGACAAGGCTAATTCTATATACCCTGTAACTCGCTATATATCTCGTCGAAAGGCATGCAAGGTGTGCAGTTCTGTCCAGAAAGGCCACTGAAAATTACAAAACTACCGCTTCTAACACTCATACATTGGCGAGCGATGCTGTATGATGTAACGGTGGCGTGGCCGAGCAGCGAGCGCTTTTGACGTTTTGTTGCACAGGTTTTGCAGGTTCGAGCCCCATGGCTGCCCTGGTTAATACTACGGGTGTATTAACCATAAATGCACGCAGTCTCGACTAGCAATGGACGCGAAAGATCCTGTAACGTTATTCTATAAGAATAGGGTTTCCCCTTTTTTCTGGCAGCAAAACAGGTGTTAAGATATTAAAACACCAAACTGAAACCTTTTTCAAGGAATCATGTCTACATTAACCACATATACTTGTGGTGAAAATACAAACAACAAACATGCTGTGACAGTATGTGCATTGTCTTTGAAACTGATTGGTCCACACCAGAAACAGCTTTCTTTAGAGCTGAGTCTCAAACAGTGTTAGACCAGAGGACGCCAAAAGGCGTACACAGCACAAAGACAATGCACTATCAGAGTAATGCGAGCTCGGGGTGAGCAGCTACATCATGGGACCTCATTTGCCAGTATCAAAATATAACCTCCTTTTGTTGCCAGAAAAAAGGGGAAAACCTATTCTTATATTTTGATACTGGCAAAGGAGGCCCCATGATGTAACGTTATTCTATATAATAGTGGGTCACGTGTGCCAGCGTCACGGTCCAAATTTGAAATATGACTCGCCGATTGCCGAATTGGGTAAAGCCGCATAGCAGGCATCGCGCCCTCCTGAGAAACTACTGTCGACTAAACGCCTGTGAAATACAGCGCCTCCGTATTAGCCTTCGTGCTATAAGAATGGTACAAATACCAACGTATCCATGATACCCTTTGGTTCCTTCGGTAAAGTCAAGTAGGTATAAAATAAAATAAATCACGACGTTTCGGGCGCAACACAAGCGTCCGTCATCAGGTGGGAAAGCATGGTCTGCTTCAGCAGACTGCCTCTGCAGACCATGCTTTCCCACCTGATGACGGACGCTTGTGTTGCGCCCGAAGCGTCGTGATTTATTTTATTTTCTACCTACGTGACTTTACCGAAAGAACTAAAGAGTACGGATTCCTGCAGTCACGAAAGCTTCAAATCAAGATGGTTTTCACGACAGCCCAGCGCTGTACGAACGGTGCAAATACCACCGTGTCGCGCTATAAGAACGGTGCCAGTACCAACATCACTGACGGGTATGAACACTCAAACAGGACGCGCGTCATCGCCGACCTCGGCGGTCACATCTTCTCCGTTTCGCCGCCGGCCGTGAGGCCTCCTCCGTTCGTGTTCGTGCTGTGTGCCCCCTGGGCGGGCGGCGGCGTCCTCTTGAGGGGCAGCAGGCACGGGTTGCGCAGGAGGGTGTAGGCCACGAGCCAGCGGCTGCGGCTCTGGTGGGCTCGGAGCAGCCGCACGCCCTGAGCCCTGCGCTGCACCAGCTGCACTCCTGCTGGTGACGACAGATAACCATCACCACCAACCACGCCACACCGTCAGCGCACGGATTTGGCTGACGAGGCGTTCACTTCTTGCAGCGATGTGTTATCTGGATTGAATGTTTTGGATTTAATATTTCAAAGGAATAGAAAGCAGAATACCTGGCCTAAATGTGACATTTCGGATGATCCCAAAAAAACGTTGTTCCGACAAATTTACGTTACTTTTTTGGCATTGCTTCAGTGCTATTTCCTGCCAAAAGTGCCCTCTCGTGATTTAACTTGATGATACGTGACGTCACTGTTGCTGAGGTTATTATTATTTAACTTGGTCTCAAAGATAAAGAACGACTTGAAGGTATGAAGAACCACAGACAAGCGGGAAGGCAGCCAGGCGTTGATGAATCGGTGCCAACAATTTTCCAAGCTCTGCAGTCCTCATGTGTGAAGATGGTTTCAGCCAATTAAGGTGTGCTTACACATCTGGGAAAAACTAAAGTAATCTGAGAAAACCCAAGCGTGCGAGGTGGGGGGAATGGGGGAGGGTGTAGGGTGAGGCAACACTCCCTGTACAGATGGAAAGAGATTGAAATGAACCCACTTGCTGTACTGCCATCTCCTGGCAAGCGAGGGAATGGTAAGGGCGCCACGGTGGCGAGATGTTAACTACCTCGCCTGGTCTACAGGAGTTCGTGGGTTTGATCCTGACCCTGATGCCTGTGTATTTGGCGTTTGCGTGTTCTCCCCGTGGTCACGTGGATTTTTCTCTGTGTCTTCCGGTTTTCCCCGCCACGTTTAGAAACGTGCGTTTAAATTATTTGCCTGCTCTACATTTCCACGTGATAGTCACTCCGTTGAGCTATCATTCGTGGCCAGGTCGGTTCTGAAAAGGAACTAGATAGCTCAGTGGGCCTTACCTGCTAAAATAAGAAATAGTTGAGTGTAGTGGTGACCTCGACGCTCAGTGGAAGGGTAGTTTCACGACATTTCTGTGATCCACAAACCCTCGCCACCACGGCGCACCATTACGAGCGTGCATAGCCACCGTAATCTGTGGCTCAAATAATGTTGAATTGTGCTGCCAACAAAAGAATTAGTAAAAATTGCACCGATACCAGGAATTCGCTCCTCTTCACAGTTACAGACTGAGTAATTTTCCTGAGACAGATGTTGTATTATTTCTAAGCCGAACGTTCAATACGTGAAATTATGAATTCAGTGGCGTGAAATAATGTGACGCTAAAAAACGCCGAAATGAATTTTGGCTCCGGTAACTCATTACGTCTTTGCATAGTGCACACGGTACATGGTGAGAACATCGGTGCGTGGTGGCAGTTAATTTCTCAACGCGATGTTGTGTTTGAACATCCACCAAGAAGACGGAGCGACGAGATCCACTTGTGCGCTGGTGCTCGGTGGATTATTAGGAAGGATCGTGAGAGAGATGGCAGGGACTCGGGAGAGGCCTTCATTCAGCGCTGGATCGATCATGGCTGATGATGAAGACGACATCTCTTCGGGAGTCCACCGCTATGAGACAATTTTGCCCGTGCTGAGTCAGTCGTCAGTGTTGTGATTGTTTCACGCAGCTCTATTGACGCCGTTGTTGAGCTGACGCCTCAAGGCCCAGACCGTCAATTGGCCAGCGTCATACAGCAAAGTAAAAGTGGGAACAGGTCGTGAAAAGTCGCGTGCATTAAGCATACCCTTTGGAAACAGGTTTAAAGTTTTGTAATATATACTACAACAACAACAACCAAAAAAACACTTTCGATTATAATCTCATGATACCCCAACTGATGTAACCTGATACCTTCCGGGCACTGTTTGTTATGCATGATGAGCTAATCCCAATTTGCCTCTCAGCATGACCATATGTTGCTTCGAATATCAGTTTGCTTTTTGATGTAAGCGCCCGTGCGTGTGCCCACTGGCTTGTTTCGCCCTGTTCATGCTAACGTTGTCGATGTTTACGAAGCGATTCGACGATTTTGAGTGCCGGTGTATGCGTTTCGTTTTCATTGGAAAACACTGCGCAGTACAGGGAAAGCTGTTTGTATCACATCAGCTATGTTCTATCCACTGCTGGATGAAGTCCTCCAAAATCCGTTGCCACCATTGGAGGTCTGGCTGTTGTACAACCCACCTTGCCGCTGCACATGAGCTGATCTCATTGCGTCATCTTCATTGGTGGGGATCTTCTTGTCTGCGATTCCATCGCCAGTCGTCATCCATCAGCCATCCCTCCCTCCCTTCTTGCGACATCTCCTCTTCATGTTTCTTCAGTCGTTCTGTTTATATTTTGCGTCGCCCGATCTTCATGTTTCACCCCCCCCCCCCCCGTATCTCAGTGGTAATTCCAAGCGAGTATCTCTCTCCATGCTTCTTGGGATTCTTTTCAGCTTTTGTTCCATCTTCTCTGTTATTGTCCCTGGTTCTGATGCATATCTTTGCAGGTGATATGCAATAATTCACAACATTACCCTGGAGATAGACTGATATGCAACTTCTAATGCGGTCATACAATTCAGTTTTACAAAGGCTTTCATGTAATAATTTTGATCCAGGTCCGCCTTCAAATATTTCCCGAGATATGCACAATCTTCAGTATTTTCCAGTTGTGTGCATACGTGGCAGGTGGATGAGTGGCAGACCCGAAATATGGCACGTTATTGAAATCTACAATGCGAAATGACGTTGACATTTTTTTTCTCTCATATAAATATAGGACCCTATTTAAAAAAGCCTGAAATTTGAGAAATGCCTCCCGTCCCGTGGGGAAGTTTCTAGATCTGCCACCGAGGTGGATCGGTGGTGGGGCTGGATGGTGGGGATGCTAGGTGACAGAGCTCTCACCTTCCTCCACGTCGCGCGTGGGGACGACGCTGGCGGAGCAGCTGCTGCTACTCGTCGCCCTCACCAGGGCCTTGCAGAATGCGCGCACCACGGGGTGAGCGTGCGACGCCTCCAGCTGCAGGAAGCCCACGTAGCAGCGGTAGCCTGCGCGGGGAGGCAGGGCGCTCTCGAGCTCGACTCCACTGCCATCGACTCACCGCTCATTCGTCTGTACATTTGTACGTGTGCCCGGCAGGGCCGAATTAGGGGCTGCAGCCCAGTGGCCTCCGTCAGCTGGAGGGCCTCCAGAGATGAAGTGAAAAGTTATTTCAATTGTGAATGCTGAATTTTTATTTGTTGTTAGCCTTGTGAAAATAAATTTTATTTTTCTTAAACTTTGTTATCATTTTGAAAATATTACCGGGGGCCTCACAGTACCTGCAGCCCAGGGGCCTACAAAATCTGAATCCGGCCCTGGTGCCCAGTCGTATAGCTGGCGTTCCAATTATATATCCACACCGTAGGCCGTGGTCAACCCACAATCCACTGCTGGATGAATGCCTTCCCCGAGCCGCCGCCGCTACCTACCACTGATTTTGTTACTCCATCTGCTCGGTGGTTGTACTCTCGGATGCATTCCATGAACGGGACACGCTCCCCTCCGTGTATAGTTAGCTACCCCACTAAAGTTCTATCGATTTGGACTCGGCCGGCGGTCATCATTGATTCCATGCAACTGCCATTATCATCATCATCATCTCTTCGCTAAAATATTCGGGAGAAATCAACATTTAATTTCAAAACCTCTTCATGTCTCCCACCGATTGCAATACACATGTTAAATCCGTGAGCTATCAAGCCAAGCTCTATTGCTGTACTGATGGCACCGAGTCACCTTGCAAACCAAGCCGACAACACCTGGTACAGGTATTTCCAGGCAGCTTCCCTTCCAAGTACTAACCCGGTGCTATTCTGTTCGCTTACGAGAACTGACAATCGCACACGTGCAAGCTGACCCAGTCCCTATGTGCAGCCGAATGGAACGAACGATATCTTCCGATGAAGAAAGTTCAATGCCCTTTCCGATTGTCTCGGCTTGCCTGGGTCATAGAGCGCCACTCCTTGGCTGAGTAGGCTCACGTCCATCCTGCACAGGTGGACCGTGTTGTACATGGCAGTGATGATCAGCCTCCAAAACCCCGTCAGCACCCCGACGAAGATGTTGTAGCAGAACAGCATGTATGTGGTGATGTACAGAAGTCGCCTGAAACGGCAGACAGGGTGAAGTGAACAAAGCGACGTGAATGAAATCACCGGGGCACGTAGGGATACGCCGCTGCGTCGGTTTTTCGCGGTTGCGCCGCGCGGCTTCTCTCGATGTGTTTTCCGGTTGCACCGCTCTACGTGCTGGGAGCTTCTTCGGGAATTGAATTGTTAAATTTCACACGACACAAAAACCGTATAAAGAGCACCGAGCCTTTTGTGCAGTGCGCTAAAAACCCCATCAGCAGTTCCTGATTAAGTGCATCGTAGTCCTTGTCTTTAAACCATCTTGCTTTTGTTATGCAAGCAACAAAAAAAACTCAATACATTCGTCAATAACTGCCCATGAAAGTAAAAAAAAAACATAACATTTCGAGCAACGACAAAGGGCCATTGGCTCGATGAAATTGTGTGTAACGCAAAATATATTTCATAAAAAACGTACAGATTGTCCAAAGAGGAATGGTGCTCGGATTTCTTCAGGAAGACGAGCCTGGCAAGAAGATGCTGAACCACGATGACCAGCACGAGCATCAACCAGAAGGGCCTGCGGCAAGAACAATGCGGTATGAGCATGACACACAACGGGTTTGCTTAGGCAAAGTGATGCTTACGCTTTAATATTCATGCTCCTGTGCGAGAGACGGTGGCTGTAAAATTCCCTGGAAGTGTCACCTGCAGTGGACAGAGCCGTACTCCTGAGTGCCTTCAGGTGGAGTTTATGGGTGGTTTATTACCGATTAAATTGGAATATAGCATCCTTCTCAAGTCCTTCCTATTATGCATCACTCAATAATGTCACGAGACTAACTCGTTTCGTTCATTTTAGGGATGAAATACAGTGAAGTGCATGGCAACGAATATAAATTATCTCGAATTCCCTCTGGCAGAGCAAATGAAACCTCCAGCATGGCATTAACAGCCACATCATATCCAAATGATGCTGCTATGGTGCAATGGTTGGCACACCGGACTTGCTGCTATCCAGTGGTCACTGGTTCGACCTCCTAGCACAGCGGTGGAAACAATGTGCACATTTCTTAACCCCCCACCCCTCCCCCCCACATCTGTCCACCCAGCAATAGACATGGGTGCAGCCAGAGTTGATCAGTAGGTCGTTTGCGTTGAGGTAATGTGTGGGCACGGCCACCTCTTCCGAAATGTCTGGCCAGTGTGAAAGAGTAGTCCAGAAATACCCTCCAGGGGGCCTCTCTGGAGCTCCTTCTAATGTCGGCCCTCATGCCAGCCATGGCATGAGCAAGTCATTGCAGGGCTGCAACCTTACCTTCTTTCAACTTTACCATGTCAGTATATCGCTGTGCGCTTTGCGTGTACTGGTTTGTAAAGCTCTTGATATTCGTGTCCGCTATTGCGCATGGAACAGGGAGGGGGGTGCGGCTATAACGACGATAACGACAATCTTGACTTAAAGATTTCGTGACCGCAGGAATTCATATTCTTTGGGTCTTTCGGTAAAGTCACGTAGATAGGTTCAACCTTTTTTTCTCCACCTGGCGATCGAAACGTCGTAGTGTTTATTTAATCATTTTTTTTAACCTATCTGCGTGACTTTACCGGAAGACCCAAAGAACAAGATACCGACAACGTTGATCCGTTGGGGGCACTCACCACATGTTCCGAACGATGTTGAGGGCGACAGCCGTAAGACCGTACATGGAAGGGATGATGAGCAGGAACGCAATCGCCATGGAACAGATATAGTAGATGATCGCCTGTATAACGAACCCTGCATTCGACAGAGCAGAGCACTGTGACCACTCCTGCCGCTATACTATATTCAGCAACACGATGCCGTACGGTTATATATGTCATGGCGGTTATCATTTTGCCGTGACTTTGAAATTGTATTTCACATTTTTATTATATTGGTTTTTGAACTTTTGCTGGATTACCGTCGAAAAAAAGGTTTCTTAAATGTTTTTCGACTGCAGCTCACCCAGCGTATGTCTGTCATAAGTGTTTTTCATGATTATAATTTATAACGCACAATTTAAGTTACGTCATATGTTTATTAAATTATTACGCAAACTGTGGAATTGATTGTCGTATTATCACCACGCCTTCCATTAGTCTGAAAGATGTTTTGTTACAAAGATTAAATTCGATAAATAATAGCTATTTATTTATAAATGTAAATGTTGGGTTTGTTATTTCACAAATATGATGTTAGGGGATGGTTAAGAAACATGCAATGAGCAAACATAATTACTGCATCACAATATTTCGCAAAACGGACGATACGATTGTTGTAGATTTCATAGTGTACGGGACCTTATATGTATTATATATATGGTATACCATAGTATTGCCATAACGTGACGCAACTCTAATTGTAACCATGAACACACGAGTAAGTCTATCAACCTGATGTGCATTATGCAAAAGAGATTTGTTAAGTTGGGATTTTCTTTTTTAACTCAGAATGGAGCTATGGAAAAAATAAAAAGTGGGTTCGTCTTTTTTTTTAATCTAATTTCATTCTTTAAATTTGATTCGGAAGCTGACAATGTTCATTCTTATTGAAGGCCTGAATATTGTGAAACAGAAAATGGTTTCTGCACCCTGGACAAAAATGAAAATTCTCTTTACATTTGCGTTCATGCTCCCTCATGCATATGCAGCACTTTGGGCATCTGTGCCTTATTTATATTTCACGAGTCTGGATAATTAAACAAAATGCAATAAACAAAACGCAAACAAAGTGGCACGAGCCAGTGAAATATTACAACCGAGGCATTTAGAATGCCTTAGTATTTAGCGATGTTTTATATGATGAGTAAATCTTACCCAGGAATATGCACGCCGTTTGAAAACCACTGTAGGTCATCCAGGACACCTGGTGAATAATTAAAGGGGCAATCAGCATTTTCTATTGATTTATTTTATAATAGTGTGTTTTTTTTGCGTCTGCTCTGCCTGCACGAGTCTCTTAGTTTTAGATTTTTTTTGTGCACAAGGCATTGACCGGAATTTTAATGAGATGTCGAATAGAATTCACCAAATAGCTGAACGGTAATTATAAGAACCATGTATTTTTAAAGTCATGCATATGCTTTAGCACCAGCAAACAAGCTCAGCATAACATGCTCACTAGTGTGGTATGTTGAAAAGTGGAATATATTTTTGCACGTGCATAAGGTCTTAGAAAAATGTGTTACATGTGGGGGCTTTGTAAAAACAGATTTGTATTCCTTAAACACAACATTTTCTGTACATATCGACAGGCAACTATACTATTTAAAACATATATCACTCCATTGTACAGGTTCACAATAGACAGCATTATAACAAAATGTATATTTCTACAAACTAAAAGCCTTGGCTAGCACATTATCTCAGTGCTTGCTGGGGTTTACATGGGCATCAAGCATAAATACAGGATTGGAAAAATAATTCTTAAAATTATTTTTCTTTACCACAGACAATCCTGAAGATGGTAATGATTGATTTTTTGGAATGATCTCAGACGTGTCTCCTCTGTACATTTGCAGGAGGTGTTCTCTGTAAAGGACAAAGACAAAAAAAACATATTAATGATCAAGACAGGTCTAGAAAGAGAACAAGTAGATTGTGTGATGATAGTCCAAGTTATATGTATTGAGGCAGCGTTCATATCCTGTTTAGAATTCCTAGAGATAGTCGTGGAAATTCCACATTTCTATGACAGAGGCGAGTCTCTTATTTTATCGGCCCTGAAGGGATGGTGGGCTGTGTGATGATGGAGAAACAAGAGTTGTGATAAAAAAAATGCTTTCTGCTGACTGGTGCAGTTACTGCCAGGAACCTAAGCACCAGTATTAATTAATACCCATTATGTGCTAATGGCTTTCATAAAAAAAAATCAGTTAAGTGCTACACCTTGCCACGAGTAAATGTTTTATACCACATGCAATAATGGAAATTAACAGGCCACAAGGCTAAACTCTCATTTAAAATTCCGATGTTTGTATCTGCATGCTCAAATGAGGGCCGGAGTCATGCTTATCTTTGTGGTGGCCCGGGGCCATGTGGAGATACCCCCCGTGCTCATTCTGGAGAACAATCTTCCTCCAGGACGACTATTGACTTTTCCCAAAATAGTATTTACTTTATTGACCCCTAGGGGGTGATTGCCTGATGTTACCCCCTTAATCGGGTTTTGTTGAGTTTGCAAACCTCGTATTGTGAGTCGCAAGCTCGAACCACAGTGTGGCTCGCAGGTGCGTAACTGAAATAAAATTTGTAAATGATGAGAAAGCTCATCATGAACGGATAATCATGCATGCTGGAAAACTATACGTTTTAAAGGAGACAACAAAAAGTGTTTAAAGCCACACAGCCATTGTATACATTTCCTGAAGAAGTGCATTGTGGTCCGCTTGTTTGATAGCAGCAGTGATGCTGTTGTCTGACAAGAGCCGTTTATATTTGCTTTAAAATTTAATTTGATGGTGATCTAAGACAAGAGGACCACAATGGACCTATGCAGAAAATGTGCTTTGTGATCTTTCAATCACAGGAGCAATATTGTTTGAAACTTAAGATGCATATCTCTTCACCCTCATGATGAACTGATGAATTGTCGTAATGTGTGGCCACGATTCGACTCAATTCTCTTTCTCGCTAATTGTTTTCATTATTTCTGACTGTGTTAGCCTGACTGTAACATTGCCATATTATTTGCATCACAATTTTTGTAGGCGATAAATTATCACTTCTTCGACGCACAATTAAGAATTTACTTATCAGATTAATCACCGCCACGTTATCAAGAGCGACACCCAGCCCGAAATGACACATTGTATAACATCTACTTGTAGTTGTAAACAAGAAACAACTCACGTGGGAAAATAACAAACAGCATAAAAATATTGCCGCTGCATGATTGTAGATGCAACGTTGGACAGTGTGACGTGTGTGTGTGCATTGTCACACACGTCACGCATGTGGCTTGTACCTCTGCATCGCATAGGTCCTCAGCAGCATGTAGATGGTGATAAAGCAAGCAGCTGCCACACTCACCACGTAGCACACTGCGACAAGAAAACAACGTTACCTTGGGCACACTTTAACAATAAATGGCGGCCACTGCGCTCAAACACAACGTTTAAATGTGTCGCATCACGCTTGCATTTCATCATCGTCGTCTGTTCCTTCCGTGGGCTCGTCGCGCGACAATTCGGGGGCCAGACAATTCTCCGCCGTGGTTCTCTTCCTTGAGGCGGCGTTACTGCGTCGTTCAGTCTCAATTAATTTATCTTCTGGATTCGTTTTTTATTTATTTTACCTCTGCATCTATCCACCCGCTTTTCTGTCTCCCCCCTCCTCCTCCCTCTGCACTTGCGTCGTTTGCAGCATTGCCAAGTGCGGCATCCTGCCCGGGACTCGTACTCATAACGCGTCCTAACCGCCAGTGGCCTTCTTCTTGATTTCGTCAGTCTCCGCAGTCGTGATGCCACGGTGGACCTCTCTCTCAACGGCATCAGAACAACACAATCCCAGGTGTGGATATTTCCCTCCACTCATGGAAGATGAACCCGGTGAGGTGCAAACCATCGGGCGTATGTAAATGACGCCTCCTCCAATACAAAGTGCGTTGTCTGGTGGAACGAGTGGACTGCTCAACTCAGCTACCCAGGATGCCGTGGAATGGTGTACATCAACAGAATAATTGTCGCCTCTTCGCTTTTTTCAAACGCTATACGAAAGAAGAAGAAGCAGGCTTGATACTCCCCATGATTGTATCTTTAAAGCTTTATTGATCTAAATTGTGTGGTATTTTTTTTTATAAAAAAAACCTCATTGATGTAATGTTACGATATTAATGAAGGTTGCTGTGACCACAGGTGACCTGAGTTTGATTCACAGCCACAGCTGACATCAGCGGTGACATCTGAACCTTATCGTTTTTACCTTTCACCAGATTACACTGACTTGTGTGGTAAGCTATGGTCAAGCAAGCCCTATGACCGTCATAGTGTGGGGAGGCCTTCATCCAGCAATAGATTTGAAGGTCATGGATTCAATCCCGACCCTGACGCCTGCTGTATATTTGGAGTTTGCGCGTCTCTCTTTCCGTGGTCACGTGGAATTTTCTCCAGGTCCTCCGGTTTTCCCCTCCACATTTAGAAAGATGCGTTTAGATCACTTGCCTGCTGTACATTTGTACATGATAAGCCACTTCGTTGAACTATCATGTGTGGCCAGGTCGCTTCTTAAAAATACCGAAGTGGGCCTTACCTGGTAACACAAACGTGGTTTAAATCTTCACTTAAAGCTTTCGTGACTGCAGCAATTCTATCTACGTGGCTTTACCGAAAGACCCAAAGAAAGCGTAGTTTATCTTCTTGGTTCTTTCGGTAAAGTCACGTAGAAGGGAAATAATAAAATAATAAAAATAAAACATAATAAAATAATTCTCACGACGTTTCGGCCACAACGCAAGCAGCCGTCCTCAGGTGAAGACCCGGTCTGTCGGGGTGACAGCGTCTGACGCTGTCTCCGTGAGAATTATTTTATTATGTTTTATTTTTATTATTTTATTATTTCCCTTCTACGTGACTTTACCGAAAGAACCAAGAAGATGAATCCCTGCAGTCACGAAAACTTTGAATCGAAAAGCGTAGTTTAGTTTTAGTTTCACATTAATTGCTCAAGTTTATTCTTGCGTTTCAAGCATCTCGCATTGCCGGTGTGTACCTTCCAGGACCCATAAGAAGTGCTTGAAGATTTCCACGGCCTCCGCGTTGTCCTGCGAGAGGATAACGCCGAACCCGGCCAGCAGGTACACGATGTCCACCGACACGCCCGAGCGCACCTTCTGCAACAGTGGAACGAGCAACACCACCAGCACCAGCGCGACCTGGAGACATGCAGAGTCGCGCAGAGATGCAGCCGCTGGTCAGTGACGCCCTCACTCAAATCCACGACGTTCATTCAGGCGCTTGCGGCTAAGGTAGGTGCTGCAAACAATTGTTACCTGGTAGATGGTGATCGCAGAGATAAGCGCTGTGATGACCATCTTGGTCGGGTAGCAAAAGCCTGTTCGACAACACGATGGTAAAGGTCATTGAGAACACCGCTGTGTTGGAATCGTTCGTGTCTTCGTGCTCCAAGGGAGCGCTTGTGGGAGTAAACTACACCGGGAGATCCACATTACTGTGGTGATAATAAAACAGCCACGAAGCTGAACTTATGTTTATCAACCACTCAAATAATGGCAGTCAAGTTGTGGAGGGCACGTTTGGTAGGTTAACTTGTGGAGTACATTATTTATTGATTTGTTGATACCCATTTGCTGTTTGCCATGGTGAAGATTGCGTGGTAGAAATGAATACGGGTATAAAATTAGTGCAAATATGAGTGCCAGGCTGCAACAAAGTAATTTGGCCCTGTATTTGTTCGTGTGGATTTTACAAAACCAAATTACTTAATAGCATGAATATACGCATCATCTATTAACAGACAGTACTTTTCCTGAAACAATATACAATTGTGGTTTTATATACAATACAGTACTGCGTATATTACTCCCAATATGCAATTTTTTTTAACATTTTACCTTCTGTCTGGGAGGACATATATGTAGTTATGAGCGATGAAAATGCAAAGGAGGTTGTTTTTCTATAAGAAAAGCGAAAAAACAGGGCAAAACGTCAGCGTTAAGTTGAAATGGCGGTGCAAATAAATAACTGCAGGTAATCGGCTGAAAACAACATTATCCTTGGCTACAAACAGAATGCGTCGCATTCGAACAAAGTTGTTCCGTGCAATTATAATTGGCAATTAATATTGTGCACCACCACCTGACTTTCGGAGCTTTCCTTTTGAACAGCCATCTGACGTACTGTGACTCATAATCCTCTTCTTGGCAGCCATACTAGGAGGGAAATTGGTTTGCGGAAGAAAAAAAGATGAAAATTGTAATCGCGTGCTTGAAAAATGGTGAACGCGGCTGACATTGCACTTAAAACGTGTGGCATTTCTGCGATGCTGAATTTTCCCATCACTGGAGAGATGAAATTATAACGTTGCGTTACAGATGTTTTGTGACGTAAAGCACTTCCTAGAATCTGCTCAGCCACACGCGAGAGAGAACCCGAGGTCGTTTGCATTACGAGGAATGAAATGGAGAGAGAAAGAGAGAGCAGACATGCTTCCAGTTATTTGTGAGCCACACTTACCACCGGCTTCTTGCATGCTGAGACCAACAAAATTGGGTATCGGACGCTCAGATAGAGCAGACACAGCATTTGCGGGAGCGAGGATAGTAGGTCGTAGTAGCTGTGTAACTGAAATGTGGAACAACGCACACACACGCGCGCGCGCACACACACAGCATGTGTCATACTCACAATTATTCAGACATTTAAACAATGCGATTCGGAATCGGCCACGGTCAATCCACTGTCGGATGAAGGCTTCCCTCGAACAGAAGCTGCCTCTCACAATCCCTTGCAATGTAACAATCCACCGAGCGCAGGCACGAAAACCGAGTTCATCGCCTCCGTCTGCTCGGTAGGCGACCTCTCAGAGGACGCGGTTACGGTACCGTGTTTATTTGAATGCTGCTGAATTTTCGACACTCCACGCAATCTCTGTAATCAAACGTCGACCTCCGGTAGATGGGACACAGAGAGAGTGGAGATTTTAAAATTTAGAGACCGAAGGTCACTGGCTCTGCACCGGCTTTCAAGATCGATGTATTGTTGTCTGAGACCACAGTCAGTCACACAGCAGTGAGAGAGAGCTTTGGACTTGCTGAATTTGCTGGTAGTTCAACATCATATTTCTTTCTCAGTGGCCTTGGCTTTCATGTGGTTTCATGCATGTCATCATCATCATCATCATCAGCTGTGTTCGATCCACTGCTGGATGAATGCCTCCTTAAGCAACTTCTCGGCGATCGTGAGATGTAACAATCTACCCCAGCACGAGCACATACACAGATTTCATCACTCCATCTCCTCAGTGGGCAAACCTCTCGGACACCTTCCCACTAACGTGGAATTAAATTACTTGAGTAAACTAAACTAAGATGATTATTATTTTAGCAGGTAAGGCCCACTGAGCTATGTAGCTCTTTTTCAGAAGCGAACTGGCCACAAATGATAGTTCAAGGAAGTGCCTTATCATGTGCTAATGTATAGCAGCCAAATGCTCTAAACGCATGCTTCAAAATGTGGAGGGAAAAACCAGAGGACCCGGAGAAAAGTCCACGTGACCACAGGGAAAATATGCAAACTCCAAATATACAAGCGTCAGGGTCAGGATCGAACCCACGACCTTCTGTATATCAGGCGAGGGACTTAACATTTTACCACCGAATACTGTGAGGCTTTGGGAAGTATTTAAGGTTAAGTGTTAAATGTATTTTTATCGTATTTAAAAACATATATATGCTGTTTTTTCATTAATAAAAAAGATTTTTTTAATTAGGATACACAAATTAAAATGTTCTGCAATTGAATGCGTGACATTATAATTAACGCGTGTTTTATAAACCGGATCGTAGCGAAGATAACAAGGTTTACACATGCACAAATATATCAATGCAGCGCATGCATATATTACGCATTTTCACGTCGTCGTTTTTTAAGTGACCTAAAAATCTACTTCATCCAGTTAAGGATCCACACTTTTTTCCTATGCATATTAGAATGTACTGAAACGGAGGAGATGTTTGCACGTGCGCCTTCCTAATGTCTCTTGTGCTCTGCGTGCATGAGTACAAGAGCACAGTTTGCCAATTATTGCACAATAGAAAACTAAAACGCAGGATACATTTCGGCATCTAAATTTTCAGATATTTTAGCTCTGGGAATTAAAATACAATTTTACTTCATGGGACTTTCTTTGCCAGTACCAAAATATGAGAATACGTATTCCCTTTTTTTCTGGCAACAAAACAGGTGTTACAATGTTACAACACCAAACTGAAACCTTTTACAAGGAATCATGTCTGCATTAACCACAATACGTGTGGTCAGAATGCAAACAAAAACATACTCTGATAATATATGCATGTATGCATTGTAAAAGGTTTCAGTTTGGTGTTTTAACATCTTAACACCTGTCTGTGGTCAGAAAAAAGGGGAAACCTCCAATTTTGCTGTCATGTCACAAACATTACTCTCATATCGATTTAAAGCTTTCGTGACTGCAGGGATTCATCTTCTTGGTTCTTTCGGTTAAGTCATGTAGAATGGAAATAATAAAATAATAAAAATAAAACATAATAAAATAATTCTCACGACGTTTCGGCCACAACGCAAGCAGCCGTCCTCAGGTGAAGAATAGGTCTGTCAGAAAGACAGCGTCTGAATGAACACCACCAGGCTTGGCAGCGTATATTTAAGCTGCTGGGTTGGAGGGGGAAGAGCGCCTTGACAAAGGAATTTGATATGCAAATTCCTTTGTCAAGGCGCTCTGACAGACCTGTTCTTCACCTGAGGACGGCTGCTTGCGTTGTTGCCGAAACGTCGTGAGAATTATTTTATTATGTTTTATTTTTATTATTTTATTATTTCCATTCTACGTGACTTTACCGAAAGAACCAAGAAGATTACTCTCATATGCAGAGTGAGCAGGACGAGTGCTGCCCCCTGCTGTGTGGACCACAACTCTCGAAGGGATCTCAGAGGTAGCTCCCTGACATCCGCTTCCGCATGCCCTTCTCTAACACGAAGGGTCGCACTGCTCTGCGAGATATCCGAATGGCTCCTCCCAGAACCGGCCCTAGACCTTTGGGGGCCCTAAGCAAAATTTGGTTGGAGGCCCCTTTGATGTATGATTTTTTTTCACCCACTAGCTCGCAGTGACTCTAGGTGGCCCTCTGCTGGCCACGGGGCCCTTTCCAATTGCAAGGGTCGCTTAGTGGCTGGGCCGGCTCTGGCTCCTCCATCTCGTGACGATACGCCAACAGCAACAACCGGGATGAAATTGGCGGTGGGGAGGTGGGGGGGAGAATAACAAAAAAAAAACCTCAAATACGAATAACTAAATAAAACACGAGTTAAATAAGCGCGGGCTCGACACTGACGGTAGGAGATCGTGGACATTCGATCTTGTGGCAGATGAGGGTCGCCAGGTGGAACCAGGAGAAAAGGGCACCCAGGATGTGAGAGGGGCGGCTTGGAACCGTGGCGCACGCAAGGAGTGGGTAGTACACCAGCGTGTAGTAGAGGAAGGCGAGGATTTTCAGCAGCTCTGCAAACGGATAAAAAACACACACGCACAAAGAGCAGCGATGACTGCCTTTGCGCTCGTTACATACACACTGACTCATCGCTCGTCCGTGAGCATTCTGCGAGCATGCTTGCCATGGCGACGTGACACCGAAAGCGTGGTCATGCCGGCACTGAAGCACTTCACACGATTGTGCAACCGCTAGCGGCAGCAGCAAGTACGATGCCTTGCAGAATAACTCGCAGCGTGCATGCAAATTTTGTGTCATTTTTTTTAAAAACACGTGTGGTGGAGCCGCTCGAGATGATTATGTACACGGATATGTTGTGTTATAACGACATCGACAAGTCATATTTTAATATGTCCTGGGTCTTCAATACTCAGTCAACCCAGCATTTGCGTAATTATTTAATTACAAAGGAGAGCCACATTGCATAGCAGGACTTTATTTGGGTTTTTATTTCAAGATGTTTTCAGCCAATTAACAAGCGGGAGGAAACTGCTGTGTGGACAGAGGCTGGGCGGGGGGGGGGGTCGGATTAAAAAAAAATTCCCATTGTTTCAACTGCCGCGCACGGAGATCCAATTGAATCGGCGACTTAACCATTACACCACGGTAGCATCCCTGTGTTTGTGGCATCAGTTTTCAGGACGCCGTGATGGCGAGATTTTGACTACCTCGCCTGGTACACAGGAGCGCGTGGGTTCAATCCCAACCCTGATGCCTATATTTGGAGTTTGCATGGATTTTTCGCCGGCTCCTCTGATTTTCCCCCCTCTACACTTAGAAATTAACGCGTTCAGAGTATTTGGCCGCTACAAATTTCCACATCATAAGCCACTTCGTTGGTCTATCATTCGTGACCCAGGTCGCTTCTGCAAAAGAGCTCTAATATCGCTCGATAAAGTAAAACGTAGTCGTGTTTTAAGTGTCAATCAAGTCCGGGATCACTGGACGGTCAATCGATGAACCTTGCATCTCCTTGATGTCTCCTGTGGCGAAGGGCAGGGGGGAGTCCAGGAAGGCCACTCGGCACAAGGTGCAAAGCACGACCCCAAAGCCTGCCGCAAACAGCTTGCGGTTGGGTCTGTTTTCCAGAAGTGGACGGGCCTGCAAAGTTCAAAATGATGGATTGTTTTTTTTAATGTCATCACAGCTGGTGAGGATTTTTTTCTCTTCATACGCGTTTGCTAGTCTGGTCAGGTTTATTATCATGCACATCGTAGAAAAAAAAAACACTTTGGGATTCGCGTGAGCGTTGAATGTGGTGGGTGGAAGGAATGCACGCGCGCGTGTGTGTGTGCGTGCGTGCATTATCTGAACCGGTCCTGGGCCTCGCCTAGGTCGACTCAGCCTCAAATAAATACTCGGTCCGGTGTGTAAACATCGCCACGCGGGAGACAAATGCGGCCGGGCGTGGTGCTGGCCACCCAACCCCTCGTGTGTCGTGCCGGCCATCATAGGTGCTCGCTAACAGCACTTGCTCCTACAGTCTGTTAAGGCTATAAGGGGGATCTTTGTCTTTGTTTGAATGTAGGCATGGTGTATGAGTGTCTTGAGATAGATTTTTTTGTTCCTTGCTATGACAGTTTCCACAAAAGACGAAATAATTAACTCGCTAGAACCTACAGTAATTATAGGGGTGTAGGTATTGTCGTGTTTCCCGAGCCTGTAGCTTAACTCCAGAGGGTCCAGTTACATCCTTAGCATCACAGTGGTTAGACTGCCCGCTGCACAACCGGAAGGGCATGAGTTCAAATTCCGGTCATGGGTTGACTCCGGCCTTCATTCCTTCCTTCTGCTGCCTTCCCACAACATCGGATGTCCCTCTTGATGGGAACTCAGCGGTGGGTTTTCCCGTGGAAAAACTGAACCTTGCCATAGGAATACAGAATTTCCACCACTGCCTCTGAGCTTTGGACTGGACATGAGCATCCCCTTTGAGTGCTAAGCTACTTTGATGTTTTTTGTTTGTTCCATGGATGTTACACTATTCTTTGGATTACGAGATGCTCGGCCTCAATAACGTTACACATATTCCGGATTATAACACGCAACCACAACTTTTGCTTTAAAATCTAGGGGAAAGATACGGTGTGCCTTATAATACAAACAATACGGTAGGAGCTGAAGGATGCTCACATGGTGATGATTGTTATTATAATTTAGACGTAAAGTTTTGCATGTAAAATGTACCCTGTTCTCCATGATTCCGAATTCCAGTGTCAGTTTCAAGTGGCTGGCAAATAGCACAATCTGTTTTTGGTTCACAAATACATCTACTGAAGTTTGATGTTAACAGTAACTGAAAGAAAATATTCAATGTTGTGTAATGTTTAAAAATCTTGTAAACAACGACCTTGATCATGGTAGCACCTATTTTTCACTCGAAATCTTGGTACATATCTTTGTTGAAATGTATTATCGTGTCCATTTCTAAAAAGTTGAGTTGGGTGCGAAATCCACAAACCTTAGTCCTTACAAAGCTGTCAGTCAGTTTATACTCGGGCTTTTTGAACGCTTACATTTCAAAAGTCAAAGTGATTTCCTACTTAAGTGAGCATCGAGGCGGTGCTTACCTCTTGTTTACAGCACCTCAAATTAGCACGGTTGGCTACGTACGGTGCAAAAAAGGTCAACATACCGTACATACAGCCCTAAGTCAGTGGTGGAAATTCCACATTATTGCAATGGGGAGAGAGTCTCTCCATAAAACAGCGAACGTTGACTTCCCCACAATGTGGTATTCACCTTATCGACCCCAGAGAGATGATGGGCTAACGTTCAGCCTGCCAATTATATGTATGGCTATGACGATATCACCCGGAATATCCAATCTCGTCGGCTAAGCAGGTTGGAGCCTGGACAATGCTTGGATGGGCGAGTGCCGTGCATAACATATATGTGGTAGGCTTGCTACAGGGCTACATTGGGGCCAGTATGTCAAAATCCATTGTTGTACTATACTATGTTTCAACGTCTATGCTCCCCACCTCCAGCCTTCATTGATCAGCAAGGTGAAGTATGTTCGGATAACCTCCATGACCCACCCAAATGAGGACGTTTTCATACAGCAATAGATTGACAAAAAATGGGCTGTACATTTACAATTGTGTATACAATTCAATACAATAACAATTAAATATATTATACCAGACTTGATCTACGATTCAACATTAATGACGTCATCTTATTGTGCAGATATTTCTCGATAAGAGACAGGACTAGCTTTTGACGCTTCACTTTTACACAGTGATAAGATCATTCAAGTTCATTATTCCAGTGATAATAACTGTTCAGTCCCTTTCAAAAAGTGTTTCATGAGCAAAAAGTTCCGTCAATTATTTTTGATTCTGCAGAACAAATTTGCAGAAATCCAAGTTCCACAATTTCAAGGATAGGTTTCGAGCAATGGATTATAGCTTTATTTTATTTGGTTAGATATAACTGATTGTGATTTACGTAAATTATGAATGTGGCCCCTAAATTCTGTGCCTTGGTTCTTATTCTCGCTTGTGGTGGCGGGATGTTATCTCCCTCGCCTGGTTTGCAGGAGGTCGTGCGTTCGGTCCCAACCCTCATGCCTGTATATTCGGAGTTTGCATGTTCTCCCCGTGGTCACGTGGATTTTTTTCCGAGTCATCCGGGTTTTCCCTCCACATATAGAAACATGCGTTTAGAGTATTTGGCTGCTACTATGAATTCCCAGATATATGATATGCCACTTGGTTGAGCTATCATTTGTAGCCAGATCACTTCTGGAACAGCGGTAGTCACTCTGTCGGCTTTACCTAGTAAACGAAATAGTAAATAGAAAAATAGTAAAGAGTTTAATTTTACCTGGTGTAATTACACTGAAACCTCGTTATTAATCACGTGATGGACCACACATTGACATTACTAGCAACATATTAACGTGTTAAATACCGCGCAATGCTAGAACGCCTTTTTTTCACACCGAATGTGCATCACAACAAGAAAATGTCGTGTATTCTAGATTTGAAGCTTTAGTGACTGCAAGGATTCATACTCTTTGTTTTTTTCGGTAAAGTCACGTAGGTAAAAAATAAGATAAATGAAAACAACTAAATTAAATCACGACGTTTCGGGCGCAACACAAGCGTTCGTCGTTTAAACAGTCTTCATCAGCAGCAGGCCATGATTTCCCACCTGATGACGGACGCTTGTGTTGCGCCCGAAACGTCGTGATTTAATTGAGTTGTTTTCATTTATTTAATTTTTTTACCTACGTGACTTAACCGAAAAAAACACCAAAGAGTATGAGTGTAAAAATGCCGTGTACTTACGCCAACAGACCCGGATATCCTTTGGAGCAATTCTTACAAAACTGTCGTCGCTTGACAATGAAGGAAAGTCCGAGTGTGCAAACGAGCTGTGGGCGAAGCACATTTGAGCTCAAAATCTTATCGAGAAACAAATTGATAAACAAGCACGTTCCATAATACCAAATACATTTTTGAAACAGATCGACGCCTTTTGGCGTCCTCTGGTCCAACACCGTTTTGAGACGAGGCTCAAAAGAAAGCTGTCTCTGGTTTGGACAAATCAGTTTCAAGGACAATGCATATACTATCAGAGTATTTTTTTGTTTGCATTCTGACCACAAGCATTGTGGTTAATGCAGACATGATTCCTTGTAAAAGGTTTCAGTTTGGTGTTTTAACATCTTAACACCTGTTTTGTTGCCAGAAAAAAGGGGAAACCCTATTATCATAATTTAGTACTGGCAAAGGAGGTCCCATGATGAAGATCAACGGCATGAAGCGATTGTACTTTTCACGAGTGATGTTTCACTGCTGAGTAGGGTTTTCACGGTTGTGCTGCCGCACAGCTCTCTGATGTGCTTTCAAGTTCCACCATGTATCGTTCGGTACGATTGTCCGATGTTTCACCCCGCGTGCCCGGGGGGTTTATTTTAGGAAGAGAAATCAGTGCGGCACAATCCGAGAAAAGACATCGGAGAGCGTGACAGCGGCTATCGTTAGGTGATCTTACCGATGCCACGCCAACCCAAGGGTGGAGGAAGTCTCCCCTGAACTTGGGTTCACACGGTGGCTCGGGCCTAAAAGAAAACGCAAACGCAAGGTCAGTTTAACACAAAACGGCTGTTATCTGCTTACCACGCTTTTGTATCCATTCGAGGTTTTGTTGAGTTAGATCGCGTATATATAAATGTGTCGTTAAACCCGCAACCATCGCCCGACACAGCCAATTAGTAAGGATTGTCACGTAAACGAAACATGACAATTAGTTACTAGTTCAGCACACCGGTGTGTTGGAGAGTAAACCCACATCATTTACAACTGTATGTCGGTGGTGGAAGGTTTTACGACATGTTTGTATTTACGCGATCTAGCCCAAAACAACTCTATTTTGGCGAATATTGGTCACGGTAACCGACGTGTTAAGTGTTTTTGTACGTGTAGCATTTGTGTTCTATGTGCTGTGCTCGTACGGTGCGGTGTGTGTGTAGCAGTGTGTTCATATACCAGTGACGCTCATCTGAACCGGTCCTGGGCCTCCCCTAGGTCGACTCAGCCTCAAATGAGTACCTGGTGCGATGTGTAAACAACGTCACTAGGAAGACAAAGGCGCCCGGGCGTGGTGCTGGCCACCCATCCCCCCTCGTGTGCCGTGCCGCCATTCACAGATGCTCACTAACAGCACTTGCCCCAATAGATCTTTGTCAGCACTTGCCCCTAGAAGTCTGCCATACACTGGTATGGGTGTGTGTAGCAGTAAGTTCCATGTGCCGCAATGTTGGGTGTGTGTAGCAGTAAGTTCCATGTGCCGCAATGTTGGGTGTGTGTAGCAGTAAGTTCCACGTGCCGCAATGTTGGGTGTGTGTAGCAGTAAGTTCCACGTGCCGCAATGTTGGGTGTGTGTAGCAGTAAGTTCCATGTGCCGCAATGTTGGGTGTGTGTAGCAGTAAGTTCCATGTGCCGCAATGTTGGGTGTGTGTAGCAGTAAGTTCCACGTGCCGCAATGTTGGGTGTGTGTAGCAGTAAGTTCCACGTGCCGCAATGTTGGGTGTGTGTAGCAGTAAGTTCCACGTGCCGCAATGTTGGGTGTGTGTAGCAGTAAGTTCCACGTGCCGCAATGTTGGGTGTGTGTAGCAGTAAGTTTCACGTGCCGCAATGTTGGGTGTGTGTAGCAGTAAGTTCCACGTGCCGCAATGTTGGGTGTGTGTAGCAGTAAGTTCCACGTGCCGCAATGTTGGGTGTGTGTAGCAGTAAGTTCCATGTGCCGCAATGTTGGGTGTGTGTCGCAGTAAGTTCCACGTGCCGCAATGTTGGGTGTGTGTAGCAGTAAGTTCCACGTGCCGCAATGTTGGGTGTGTGTAGCAGTAAGTTCCACGCGCCGCAATGTTGGGTGTGTGTAGCAGTAAGTTCCACGTGCCGCAATGTTGGGTGTGTGTAGCAGTAAGTTCCACGTGCCGCAATGTTGGGTGTGTGTAGCAGTAAGTTGCATGTGCCGCAATGTTGGGTGTGTGTAGCAGTAAGTTCCATGCGCCGCAATGTTGGGTGTGTGTAGCAGTAAGTTCCACGTGCCGCAATGTTGGGTGTGTGTAGCAGTAAGTTCCACGTGCCGCAATGTTGGGTGTGTGTAGCAGTAAGTTCCACGTGCCGCAATGTTGGGTGTGTGTAGCAGTAAGTTCCATGTGCCGCAATGTTGGGTGTGTGTAGCAGTAAGTTCCACGTGCCGCAATGTTTGGTGTGTGTAGCAGTAAGTTCCACGTGCCGCAATGTTGGGTGTGTGTAGCAGTAAGTTCCACGTGCCGCAATGTTGGGTGTGTGTAGCAGTAAGTTCCACGTGCCGCAATGTTTGGTGTGTGTAGCAGTAAGTTCCACGTGCCGCAATGTTGGGTGTGTGTAGCAGTAAGTTCCACGTGCCGCAATGTTGGGTGTGTGTAGCAGTAAGTTCCACGTGCCGCAATGTTGGGTGTGTGTAGCAGTAAGTTCCACGTGCCGCAATGTTGGGTGTGTGTAGCAGTAAGTTCCACGTGCCGCAATGTTGGGTGTGTGTAGCAGTAAGTTCCACGTGCCGCAATGTTGGGTGTGTGTAGCAGTAAGTTCCACGTGCCGCAATGTTGGGTGTGTGTAGCAGTAAGTTCCACGTGCCGCAATGTTGGGTGTGTGTAGCAGTAAGTTCCACGTGCCGCAATGTTGGGTGTGTGTAGCAGTAAGTTCCACGTGCCGCAATGTTGGGTGTGTGTAGCAGTAAGTTCCACGTTCCGCAATGTTGGGTGTGTGTAGCTGTAAGTTCCACGTGCCGCAATGTTGGGTGTGTGCGTAACATTGCACCGTCCAGGTTCACGTGACACGCTGCGTCCGACGCGGTTGTGCGGTGTGTTTGACCCGAGCGTACGTGGCTACTGGCTCCTCCGGCAGCTTTACGCCAATCTCGTAGTAGTCGTAGCTCATGTCTGTTTCGTTGAGGGCTGCCATTCTGCTTATTTTTTATATTATCAGACTCCACTTGCTGCTTGGTTTGCAGGTGTACCTGAAAATAAAGAAATCACAAAGTATTTTTTAAATTACACTGGACACTGCATCGATATTCAACTGTTTACGATTTTGGCTTGGAGCAATTTCAAGCAAAGCCCATCGTAAGTAACTCTAACATGACCAATGCTGACATACGTCAACATTAGAATTACACACTCGTAGTTAATTTAAATAAAACTTGGCCAAGATACGGCCACACACGGTTGGTTTACGCGTGGCATACATGTGGGGCAAATATAGACAATATAATGCAGGAACTTGCTTCATGTGAAGTGCCAATTATCACGCTGAAGGTATTGTGCGTGTGCAGCAGCAATATGCCACGTGGAGCGGTGGCGTAGTGGTTAGCGAACTGCACCGTGAACGCGATGACCTGAGTTCACTTCTCGGCCATCAGTGACAAGTGATATCTGAATCGGCCCTGCACTGACCAGTGTGGTGAAGTATGGTTAAACAAGTCCCGTGACGCACAGAGCATCGGGAGGGCTTCATGCAATAGAGGATTAACAAAAGACTGTAAATTGTTATTATTATTACTTACATTGTGTAGCATAATCAAGCCACCTGTGTGCTTGACCACAATAAAATGTCGATACATCGTGGACCTCACCTGCACTTCGCGAGACTTTTCTCACCGAAGCGAGCCACACTGACGTGCTCCTGAAAGTTGCTCGACATCATCAAGAAGCGATAGAAACTCACCTGCGCGTCTTGCAAGCGAGCACCACCGGGCGGCCGCCTGACGCGGAACACACGTCGCGGCAACCTCCCAGTTGGGGCGAGCGACTTGTTGGGCACCAAGTCCTGCACAAGAGTGCGAGCGAAAGGAACGTAATCCTGTTCGAGGCGGAGTTTATCCCCTAAAGCTCCGGCAACGAATTAAATCCCAACTCTTCCCCCATTACTCCTCCTCAAGTGAAAGCCTGGACGAAAGCCAAAGAGGGCCCGCTCACAAGTGTCGCTCATTGCGCGCGCGGGCGAGTTTGCAGAACGCTCAACGCCACAAAAACAGGGCCTTGTGTGAGCACTGCTTCATCAAGCTTCTCCCCCACTTGCAAATAAGAATAATAATAATGATTCTTGCTCATCTATCTGCACTGTAAAACATTGTCTCTGGTGCGAAGCTCCAAGTTTGTTGAGGATGTTGTGAAAATAAACGTGAGAACACATCGTCATCACGGGGCCTCCTTTGCCGGTTACCAAAAAATGAGAATAGGTTTTCCCCTTTTTTCTGGCAACAAAACAGGTGTTACGATGTTGAAACACCAAACTGAAACCTTTCACAAGGAATCGTGTCTGCATTAACCACAATACTCGAGGGCAGACACAATTTAGAGACATCGCATTGCCTGTTAAGAAAGAGTGAGTAGGCTTGCTGGACAGGGCACCTCACTAAAAACAGGGACGATGGGCGGTGGTTAAGACTCGTGACGAAGTGGCAGCCAAGGAATGGAGAGTGCCCGGGAGGACGTTGACACATCAGCTTGTGCGCTGGTGCGAGCAATGGATTGTCACATCGAAGGGCTGTGAGAGACGGTGACATCGCTGGCTTTGAAATTCCCATGTTTCTAATTTTAATTACAACTGCGTTTAAAGTGTGTGCCGTGGTGATTACGATGCGAGTTTGGTAACACTCGGTAAAATAAGGGACATTGGAGTGATGCGAATTAAAAACAGAAAAGAACCCTCCAATGCCCTTGTACTTGGAAAACTTAAACGCATGCAACTATCCACGTGGAACGAGCGAGGCAAAACAGACCACTGTACCAGCAACAAGCGTGCGTGCAAACGGACAGTCAGGACAGGCGACCATGTGCCTCGGATCGGTGCAGAGTGATTCGTCGAGGGGCGAAGGTTCAAAAGAGGCATTCGAGGGGATTTCTTTTTTTTTACGTAAGAGGCGTGGAAGCGAAGGGTGGACGGTCGGTGCGACGGTTGACAACCAAGGAGGAGGACGGCGAGGATTGGATGAATGGAAGTGGGGGGGGTGAACGAAGCTTCCAGAAAGGGGGCTCGAGGGGGTGGAAAAGAAGGGGACGTTTGGGAAGAGGACGAACTTCGAGCATCAAGAATGAAGTCCCACGCGTCGTCGCTGGCGCTGCGTCCGAATAAAAGGGCTCCGAATAGCAAGGCGTGTGTCGGCGTCATTGCATATGTGTTATATTGTACCCTTTGTAAATTGACCTCTGGATGAAGGCCTGGTCATGAGTGTAGTTTGACTATACTTCACCACGCTGGTTAATGAAGTTTGGTGAAGGCAGACCGGGGGGGGGGGAGCAGGATAGGTTCAGATGTCACTCGCCACTGATGTTAGCCGTGGCTGGGAATTGAACCCGTCACCCGGTTTGTAGCCCAGTACACTAACCACTGTGCCACCGCTCCTCTCATACTACTATATGTGATAAAGTCACCTTATATGAATGCATAAACGTAAAGCAAGGTTCTGCACTTGTCCCAACGTCTTCCACCCACACTCGTCGTTAACATTGGCCCGTGTTAATGATGGACGTGGGACCGATATTTAATTACGCATTAATTTTATTTTTCTTTGAAGTTAAACCCATTACAGATGTTGCGAAAGGAGCGCAAGTCGATTCACACGCGAGAAGCCACCGTGCAGCAAAAGAGCTTTTTTGTTTGTCCCAGACACACTCAGCAGAGCCCACTATCGGTTTTCATGCCTGTGAATGTGCGGGGCATTAAAGGATTGAGAGCATTGGAGGCATTTTTCCCTGCCGATGGGGGCCGTAGCAGCCCCCGCTCCCCCCTCCTCGTGCAGCTTTTTTTCAAAAAGACTCACTTCAGAGTTTTGCCGTAAATTACACACAACAGACGCACAATGGTGCTATTATGTTGGCTGGATATTTACTGGCCACTAAATTTCCCTCCACTGAATGCGGGGCCGATCGACTCGCTGTTCAACTTACGCAACGCATTCAACATGCGCAGAAACATTTTTAAAACGTTCTTCTTTTGGAGACTCTCAAACTACTTATTTTCACTTACATATTTAACGTGATGTGCATATTTATCTTATTAAATTATGAAGTCTTGTCTCACGCCACATATTCAACCACTGGCACACGCAAGCATGTGCACATCTATATAAGAACAGCAACACTGACGCCAGCGAAATACTTGTGCCAAGATAGGTTCACTTTGAAGTCACAAGGCCATGTGCATAAGTACATACTAACGCAATAACGGTCAATAAAAGAAAGAATACCACAGTTACAGTATTGGTATCATTCGCCATAAACATTATATACATGGATTATTTGGCACTTTCACACATGCAAGACATTAACGTATTCAAGCGTATTAGAAATAGCAGTCCATCGTCCAGCACACTTAAAATCACTTAAAAGTGATACACCATTTTTCGATTTAAAGCTTTCGTGACTGCAGGGATTCATCTTCCTGGTTTTTTCGGTAAAGCAACGTGACTTTACCGAAAGAACCAGGAAGAGTGATACACCATTTGAATATATACAGGATATTATTCACCAAAACAAGACATAGTTTAAGGCATATGAGGACACGCATTTAACAATACAGTCAACACTTTTGAACACTGTCTTTTAAAACAAAGCAGTGGTTTTTTTTACGTATTTTTAAAATCAGTGAATTACCGATTTTTCATACTCAAACGACGTACCTGTGGTTTAAGCGTAGAACATGCAGCCTATGTTTCTGGGTGCACAGAACTTTGAGCCCTGTCTTTCGGTGAAACTTTGAGCTCTCTCTCTCTGTCCCTTCCTTTGTCTGTCCATGAATGCACATGTACACACCACGTACACATCGAGCTCACAATACAAAGTCCTCGAACCAACGTGCGTAGATATTCCCACAGCGATGATGCAGCTCCTCAAGAATCGTAGTGTTGCGCTGCAGAGATGTTTAGAACAATGAGAGCCAACTCACCTGTTTGTTTTTTTAATTGTTAAGTCGCCAGACCTTGGAGTTTGTGGCAGTTGCGTCGCGATATGAGAGGCGTCACACGGCGGTCCTGTTGAAGAGCGAAGCAGGCACCCACCGCGGGGTGGAGCATCACAAAAGGGTGACTCGCTTATCAGAGAATCCTTGAGTCTTATCTCGCAAAATGGCAACAGCGGCTGATAAAAAACAAACTTCAGCGTCGACAGCCAAGAGTGTTAAATGTTTACGGGTGTTATTTAAAAGTTCCCGACTGAAAGCGATACCAATGATAACAAACTGAAGCAAAAAATAAAAGTTCAGCAGACCTGCAACGGAGCGCACTCGAGTTAACTGTCACGAAGCTGATAATGGCTTTTTGAGTCAGATTTTTTTTAAAGTATAAAAATATCGTGCAATTACGTTAATGCAACGGCGATACACATTCTCGCTGGCTGTCGTTAGAATCTAATTCGATGTAATGCACACACTTTAGATGATACATTATGGTTTTAAATTGCACTTGCAACCCCACTCACCCCCCCAATAAAGACCTGTGGTGTGGTGTAAAGCTTATGCTGTGCATTACAGAGGCGCATTGCAATCTGTAATTAAAGCGTTTCTTAAAAGCTTCATAGTGTGCAGTTTACAACAGGTGTTTAGCGTCTGACAACCCATTTCAACTCACTGCACCTCAAATGAGAGGAGCCGGTGCTCGCAGACCGTATTCTTATACACACGTCGAATGTTTATTGTTTAGGTGTCTCAGCACAGATCAATGCAACAATAAAACAAACCCTTTTGACCGTGCAACACACGCATCTTTTGCTTGTGTTTAGTCTATGTTGGTTCACGGTGGTCAAACAAACCCGCACAGCCTGAACAGCACGTGGAGGCCTTCATTCAGCAGTGGCTGTACATGTAAGTTGAAGTTGAAGTTAAATGAGTTGCTAACAAACGGTTGTCCGATGTTCCTATGGAGCAACTGACCCGTGACACGTGAATGCATCAAGTCTGCTGCCCGTTCAGTGTTGCCAGCAGACACGAGTGGCATCCCAATGCTCACTTTTATCGGCGAAACACTTTGTATATTTGGCCTTTGTTTCAACACAACGTTTAAAAGTGCAACGCATCGCTAACAGCAAACATATCTTACCCGCACGTGCATCGTTAAGGAACACTCCAAATTCACACCCCAGTTCATTCCCGGGGCGCTCGTCAACAGATTGCGTTGTGTCTTGGCAACAGTGGAGTCGCTGCCTGACACGGTGTTTGTACACCGACGCTGCCAAAATAACACAGCGTCCGTTTAAACACAGAAAAAATAATATATAAGCCATTTATCATACGTGTTTATTCTGCTCAAGTAGTATTTGTGACGGTTGAAAATGGTAGAATATATTTTTGTTCGTCGCAGGATTTTGCCGAGATAATCTTTCGCCGCCAAGGATTATTTAAAGTCAGGGATGTATCTCATTGTGGTTTATCAACAAGAAAAAAGGGTGCCCATCGAAACTGACCATTCCGTTTCACACACCCCACCCCTCTGCTTTGTGCACACTCACTCTTGCGTTACGAACCGAATTGATCGTCACCAAAGCAAACACGGTGGTGTGGGTGGCTGCTGCCGGCTCTGTGTGTGTGTGGTGTGGTGGTGTGACCGTGGTTCAATCAAACTGTTTATATTTCTCAGCCCGGTTACCAATGGAGCCGTGACGCGGATTTTCTTCTGACGCCTTGGATGCCGACTCTCGCTCTCCCCACAACACGGATGACTCTATTTAACACAAGTCTATCGGTGCTTACTTGGGGGAACTGATCTTGCATGAACGCGCTTGGATATCAAGCAGAGAGATACACACACGCACACGCAAAGCGGTGGATTTTGTCATAAAGTGTCACCGAAGGATACAAAGGTAAGTTAGAATTATAATGTCACACGCATTCATCGTTAAGGTATATCAAACCGTTATCGTCTTATCATTCAAGTGATATTCACTTTAAAGTGACCGATCGTAAGTTATTAAGTAATGATTTATGATTAGATAATTACTCATTTCATTATTTGGTAGAATATATGAAGCCATTGCAAGTGAAAAGAGTACATGTAATTAAACGTAACGTTGAATATTGTGATGTGAAGAGCGATGCGTTGTCGCAACACGACGTTGCGTATGATTGCGTTGCGTTTCCAGCGAGGTTATTGAGTTCTTCATGGCACTCGATCAATTCCCAGGGCGAGCTCGGAACAAGTTGGAAGAGTCACGTAGAAGGGAAACAATAAAATAATAAAAATAAAACATAATAAAATAATTCTCACGATGTTTCAGCCACAACGCAAGCAGCCGTCCTCAGGTGAAGAATGCGGTAACCGATACAAGTCAGACCTGTTCTTCACCCGAGGACGGCTGCTTGCGTTGTGGCCGAAACGTCGTGAGAATTAATTTATTATGCTTTATTTTTATTATTTTATTGTTTCCCTTCTACCGAAAGAACCAAGAAGATGAATCCCTGCAGTCACGAAAGCTTTAAATCGAAATTTAAGTTGGAAGAGAGTAAATAGAGAAACAGAAGGCACTCCTAAACAAGTTATAACCGAGAGCAATTGCCCTTCCACCTTACTGTTGGGCTCCCTTCTTTCCCCTGCAAGGCACGGCACACGAGGTTGATTGACACGGAGACGAGCCGAACATCTTCAACGCCCCGCCACTGAGAGACCCCCAGCGTATCGAGACCAAAACGACGGCTGGAACAAACAAAAAATTAACCCGTAAAAACTAAGTTTTTCACTATAAATCCTTTATATGCGTGGCATTGGGGCGGCTAGAGTCCTCTCGTCCTCTGGCTTGAGATGGCTGCCACCTATGGATCAGATGATTGTGTGCCAGCATTAACCAATTGGTAAATAAATATTTTAAAAAAATTCCCTAAACAGTGTAAAATTTTGAAAAAATGTTTCACGAAAATTCATTGTCACGCACAACGAGTCTCTCATGCAAACGCTCGAGTACAATATTAGATGGGGAAAGGTGAGACCTGAGAGAGATTGCTCATACGGCAGGCAGCCATCGTGAAGAATGCGGTAACCGATACAAGTCCTGACTATGAAAAGCTGCACGCACGACCGCGCGTGCCCTTTTAAGTTTAAACTGGAAGCCGGAACGGCACAAGACTTGGAAGCCATTCATCCCCTGCTATTGGGGCAGTGGAATTTAGCAGAGTTAATTTCCTTTTTTTTGTGTTGCCACTCACCCCGGCTGAAATGCTGAGTCGACGGCTGCTGCTTTGTGTTGCTGTAAAAGTCACCTCCCTTAAAGCAATGGCAGCAGTTGGAGTCTTCCTCTTGTTGCTGTTGTTGTAATTGCGGGCTTGGCAAATCGCACAGCAGCAGCAGCTGCTATAGGCTTCAGAATGTTTCTGGGGAAAAAAACGCTGCCGCGTTGTGTAACGTTATTTCTCACAAAGTAAATAGGCAGAGGTCTCGTTAATGAATCTGTCTCTCCACATGAAGATTCATATTTATTGTGCAACCCATCAGGGGTGCATAATTTGCAGCAGCATTGATTCAAGACATGCAAACTCTGGACTGGTTTTGACACAGTCACGCTTTGACACGCAGTCAGGTTGTGATACACAGTCATGCCTGCTGGAACCATTGTTGGTGAATTTCCAATCTTACAGGCAAAGGGCCCTCACCATACACTTTGGGGTCCCAGTTCCACGCAAAATTATATCGTGAAACTTTGCTCTAACGAATGACGCCAATGATTATTTTGAGTTATTTATTGCAAAGGGCCATTTGTGCCTCTGCTTCCTGGGTGTTTGCGGCTTCGTGCTGCTGTACGGCGCTCCAAGGGGTTTTTCTCTGCTTGTACCGGCGCATTGTTTCTGCACGATGCCCATCGTTTTGCTGCGCGTGCTGGGTGGAAGTTTCCGCGGTACAGCCAGAAAAAAAATCGGAGCGGCCGTTTTGCGTTTGTCAAACTGGTGGTTTGGGAAGAGTAAAATCGTGAAGATGACGACCGCTTGCGTTGCGATCGAAACGTCGTTATTTTTTTTTACCTATCTACGTGACTTTACTGAAAGACCCAATAATATAAAAACGTGAAGATATGCGCATGTTTTTCTTTCTCCATGTTTTGTTGCATTAAGTGCACTGGCAAATGCAGATTCAGGTGTGAAGCATTGAGAGAGCGTAAACACCATAAATGATCAAATTAACCGATGATTAATTTTTAAAAGGGCGTTCTGATAAATGTATAAAAGCCAAGATTTGTATTGGATGCTGAGTTCCGCATGGAAGGCTACGTGCAATTTATAGCCATTTCTCCAATTACAGAGTCAGTCTGTTTACGTGGCAGTCAGCTAAGAGCATCAGCCGAACCACATCGCATTGCCAATTTTCCCCCTTTGTAGAGATGGGAAACCAGGACAATGTCTTGAAGATTGGGTGAAGAGCAACACTTGTCAAATACTGAATTTGTTTTGAAATAAGTCTTGACATCAATATTGAAACGGTGTGGTCTGCCATTCGTGCTATCTCAATAGGCTATGTGTGATGTTTTAGGTTCGGGATTTAGAGTTAATTTCTCATCTTTTCAGAACCATTTCTGCCTCAATTTTTTTAAAATCACAATGTCTTTTGCTACAGCCCAAGCAGAACACTTTTTGTGAGTTTACTCTTTTCTTTGCTGAATTAGCATTTGTTGTAATTGCATCCACATTTTATATCATCATCAGCATTCGTCATGACAAAATACACTGCCGGATAAAAGCCTCCTCGAGTCATCGTAATCTTTCATGGTTCTGTGATGAAACAGTCCACCTCGTATCTGCACATGAGGTGGTTTCATTGCTCCATCTCTTCCTCAGTGGATGTAACCTCGGATTGCATGCCATTCCTTGGCTGCGAATCTCTCACGCTCCATAATTATTGGCCATCGGTCCTTTTAGCGACTTGTCCTCCCCAAGCCAACTTACTTAAACTTGGGAATGACGTCTTTAACATGTGTGAGTTATTCAATTCACGTGTTCCTCTTTCTGTATCACCATGTTTCTGAGCCATGTCACAGCAAAGGGTAAACAGATATTATACCACTCTGTGCAAAAGTATTCACGGCACTTAATTTACGTGACGTCAAGTAAAAGTATCTCTGCTAAAACGAGTACGGTAATGGGGTGGTGCTCATCCATAGTGGCTGTGGTGGTGGCTCCGAGTTTACAGTGGGAAGTTCACAGGACGAGCACTGCTGACTTAATATCGAGTAGTATACATTTGATCAACCCTGGAAGCCTGATGTTCTGTCAACCTTCAACCAGGATTTAAGCTTGCAACCTGCTCATGGTGAGCAACGTGCTCTAACTTCAACACCAAGTTCAAGTTTATTTTGTTTAACCCGCAGGTGAGAACTCAAGAGACCAGGATAGTCTCATTTTCACGAGTGATCTGGGTCAACACAATGTCAAGGGGAGAGAAATAAAATAAAGTACGGGAATGCTGCGAATAGAAACCAGGACAAAAAGCAACTGCGTCACATGAGAAATAAAAAAATATATTGCACAATCATAAATTAATGTGAAATCGTCAAAAATAATTACAAATGTATTAAATATACAATTACAAATAAAATTTACAGAAACGTTTAAAACATATATAGGGTGACTATTGTACAAATTTACAAACCGCCCCATGTTAACATGCACCGCAATCCTCGTTCTGTTTTAAACAATAAATATTTGACGTTACAAAAAACGTCAGTACGGTAACGGTAGAGCCCTGTGATGTTTTGTTCGCACCGCTGCTGGCAGAAGGACCTTAACTAGAAGGCCTACTCTTCCATGTTGGCCAGAAATCTTGCAAGAGATAGGAGTGTTCACACCCAGGAGATAAAGACAATGGGAATCGTAATTTAGATGAAATAGTTCACGTGACAGTGTCGACAGGTCCTGTTTTGCTCTCTCTCGAAATACAATTTTCGTTCGGGGTGTTTACATGGGGATGAGTCAATATTCCTACGGTGGCTTTGATAGCTCAGGACAGAAGCGTCACCCCACGGAGACATTGCCTGCACATCCTTTGTGCGCGAGGATGGGACCCCCCCCCCTATCCCCGCTGAGCCGATGCAATCTCCGCTCCACACGTGCGTCGTCGCTGCACGACACCCAGCGTGTCCCGAGATTACAATGCGTGCCCCAACCGCAGGGGTCGGAGTGCACTGAGTGGAATATTTTTACAATAATATTCGGCTCTTAATTTTCGTTCATCTGTGAGCAAGCGTGGGTCTCTAATAAAGTGTGTTTTTGGGGTTAGATCGCGGAAATATAAATGTGTCGTTAAACCCGCCACCACCCGACACAGCCGATTAGTAAGTGTGGGTCGTTATTAACTTTTTTCGCACCGTACGTAGCCAACCATGCTAATCGAGGATGCGGGGAATGACCACAAACTACACACAAAAATCAGTTCTAAAAAAAGGAGTTTTCAATATTGATTTAAAAGTGCATTGCTTCAATGGTGCCTTAATTAATAGGCCTTTGAGTTTACGAATTACACAAGTCTCTGATGTGTTTACGAGTCGAGCTGCCTCGCTATTTTGGCGTGACATCCAACGATACGCTGCAGCGTGCTGGGAGCGAAACGTTGGACAAGTGTGCTGAACAACGCACAACCCGAAATCACATCGGAGAGCTGTCCAGAACAACCGCAAAAACAACCTACACGGTTGTTGCATATTTGCAGATTTCATGCGATGTGAAAAGCACTCAATGTGGAATGGAACCATTTTTGAGTTTAATGGTCGTAGCTCAAATTCTGCAATGAAAGCTTTCCGCAATGGGTGTAGTGAAGCTCATTTGTGATTTGTGATTTTATTTTTTACCATTAGGCTTTGGGCAATTTGGATATGTAGCAACGCTCGAATGTCCCTTTGAAGAGTGGAATGCAGCACACAACAGCGCCGTAACCAAGGGCAAATAAAATGCTGCGGTGCAAAGTTCGACGCGATATCACGGGAGGCAAATCAATGCTGTACACGAGGAGGTTGCTGCCATCCTCTAATAGATTGTGCTCAAATGGCTGTCTGGAGTAGAATTCATCCACAGCTGCACTCACACGGGCAGCACTCAAAAATGGCATGGTCTTGATCACATTCTACAAATGCTCTGTGATTCACATCGTTTTTGATGGAGTGCCACACGCTTGGAATTACAGGAAGAAGAACACATGAATCAGCGAACATAGGACATTATAAACATCACGTTGACTTAACACGTAGGCTTTCGCGACCAATATCATTCATAATACAGGTTTTTTTTGGATTAGATCGCGCAAATATATAAATGTGTCCTTAAACCCGCCATCACCCGACACTGCCAATTAGTAAGGTTTGTCTCGTAAATAGAACATGCCAATTTGTTGCAAGTACAGCACACCGGTGTGTTGGAGAGCCAAGCCACAACATTTACAATCTGAGTACGACGTTTTGCCAGTAATTACAACTAGCTTCATCAGGCGACAGCCAGATTTGCTCTCCAACACACCGGTGTGCTGTACTAGTAACGAATTGGCATGTTTTGTTTACGTGACAAACCTTACTAATTGGCTGTGTCGGGTGGTGGCGGGTTTAACGACGCATATTTTACGCGATCTAACCCCAAAGAAACATGTATGATGGATCACGTTGACTGTTAAGAACAAGACATGTTGCTAGAAGGGATCATGGCCAGTGGTTGAGACTAACAAAGGTGTGGCAGTTAAAGGAGGAACATTCTCAAGAAGAAGTTCAGCGATGAGGTGGGGTGATGTAGTCAGCTCACGTATCGGAGTTCGATGGACTGTTGAATGGTGATGATGTACAGATGCCTTCATCCAGCAGTGGATATGTAATGACTGATGATGATGCTGCTGCTGGTGAAGCTATACCAAAGACCGAGTTTGAGTTTAACATCAGTGGAGTCTCAGAGGACATTCAGGATGAGCTGTCTTTTAAAGCTTAATATATAAATAAAAAAATATACCATCAATGATTGATGATACTACTTTTGAAGCTTTCGTGACTGCAAGGATTCATATTCTTAGGTTTTTTTTACCGAAAAGTTCCGGGTAATTAATCTATAAGAGTATGATTGATGATAATTAAAATAGAGTGGTATTGATACAATATGCAACATGGAACTTTATTAAAATATACCTGGAATGGTCTTAGTTGAAATAACGTAAAAAGTCATTTATAATGTGATTATTTTTTCTGTAGATAACTAAAGCAAGTGGTAAAAAGGTGATTTGGAATCAATAAAGTTCCGGGTAATTAATCTATATATATTTATAGCGAAATTTAAATTATATGAAATACAAATTTTTATTTAAGTTCAGTTAATGTATTGTGTGTGTTTGTTCCAAGTGTATTTTTCATAGTCCAGGGCAAATTTGGTTCATGAAGAGTTTATGCAGTTTTGTGTAACTTTTACCATAACCCCGTGCTGATTATTTATCTTTCTACATGCCATGATTTTTCAGAAAACAGATGAGGTCCTTGCATTTTGGATGGGACAATAGTGTTTTGCTTATTCTAGCAAGACAGGGTTTGTTGAGCCTGGAACTTGTGATAATGAGACAAAAACATTTAATAGACGTCATTTGTTCTATTTTCCATAGAGATGAAGTCTAAGGAGTAAATAGTTTATTCGTAGTTCAACTGGAAAGGTTGATTTTTGGAAGGGAGCTTTTGCAGTTGTCAATTATACGATTTGTGTCCATGCATATGGACATGTTTTCCGCTTTATTTATTGAACTTATCACATTGTATGTGTCTCTGTGAGCGTTTGGATAAGGTTGAGTTTTGTTAGCAGTGTTTATTTGGTTTCATTGCTTTTGCATTTAATCTTTACTCAAATTGGATGAGGATTTTTTTCCGTTTACATACAGAAGATACAAAGTCTGGTTAACCTATAAACAGCATTTTTTTCACAGCCCTTTGTCAATATACTGCTGAATGAAGGCCACCTCGTGCTGTGTCGGTAACGAGAGTGTTTGAAAATGCTTCTCCACGCTGATCAGTGTGGGTTATTCAAGAGGGGGGTCAGAAAGATGTAGGTATCACTCGGCCACTGATTTAAGCCATGGCTGGGAAAATAACTCGGGTCTCCTAGTTATTAGTTCAGGTCATGATCCACTTTTCCACCTCTCCTCCTCCACCTATTTCTATAATCAGTCTGTAAATATTATGCACACGTTCTCCCACCTCTAGTTTTGTGCTACACGCGTAAGTGGAATTCATAAAGAGTGAACACGCGTGTCATTGCATATGAACCATTATAGCTTACAATTATAATTCCCCTCAACGATGGAGTGTGCCAGTGTGTAGGCAACTATCTCACCTTGGGGTAATCCGGCTTCCACACGGCTACCATCCAAAAGCATGAGAGATATGAGTTTTTTTTTAATGCTTAACCTCAGGCCTACACCAACTTAAAGTTGATAGGCATATTACAATTTTGAAGAAATTGGATCATTTTTACGAAAGGGTTAGGAAGAAAATTGCATTATTTTAAGTTGCTGTATCGTTATTTACCAAATTTTGTTTATCAAGTGCATTTTTTAATGGCGTTGACCTCTGTTTGAGATGAGATCATTGCAATTAAATTCCATTAATCACAGCTTGGGATTGTTAAACCATTCATAAATCTTACCTCTCGCCTTTGAGTTTAGCTTAACTTTTGAAGGTAATTGTGCATGTCAAGTATTTGTGGTTGTAATGAATACTTTTGCTAGAAAATGACTTAGCCATGGTTCCTGCTGTGAAAAAAAATGACCCGATGACACTTGTGGCAGATCACAAACCCAAATATGAAAGTTGCCCAAAGAGGCATGGGGAGATGCGTGCTTGGAATAGACTTTAGACAGGAAGAGATCAGAGAGAATGTGCCAGTAATAAACGTCACGTGGAACAGCAAGAGGGCTTAAACAGGACACTTTGCTGGATGGGATGGTGGCTGGCGGTTGAGATCATCGATGGATTGACAACCAAAAGAGGAAACTCACCTGAGAGTCCATCCACCCTTGAGATGGAGTGATTCAATCAGCCGATGTGCAGGTGCTCGATGGATTGTCGCATCTCAGAACCATGGAGGGATGGCGATGGCTTGGGGACATTTTATTCGGCAGTATACTGTATTGATCACAGGTGCTGATGGTGATAATGACAACGGTGATGATCTACTTTACAATTCGATGCGTAGTTAGATACGTATTTAAATGCTGCCACATTTCAGACGGTATGGGGGTAATGCTTAAAGTGAAGCCCATTAAAGATAGCATCAAACCACTCCTTTGATCGTGGAGCTCACACGTGTCCATAATTCCCCGCTACAGGGCCAATTGCTCGGCTTTGACTTTACGATGCTGTTTGAGCCGTGGGCTGCGAGAAATCGTTCGAAGACGCTGCTGTTTATATAGCTGCAGCTTGTAACTGTGGGGTGAGCTTGGAGTTGTTTGCCTTTTTGGCCATGGAGAGAACGCTATGCGGGTCCTCCACAGCCAGCCCCACCCCCCACAACAAACGCTGGGCAGTACGCACTGACTGCACTGTGATCGCATGGACACTCGTCCTCGCAAGGCAAGTGTGCGTTTCTTTGCGACGTTGCTCTTCCTCGGCTCTTTCGTGGCGTGCCTATGCCGCCTACATGGAGTGTCTTCTTGGTTCTTTCGGTAAAGTCACGTAGAATGGAAATGATAAAATAATAAAAATAAAACATAATAAAATAATTCTCACGACGTTTCGGCCACAACGCAAGCAGCCGTCCTCAGGTGAAGAACAGGTCTATCAGCCGTCCTCAGGTGAAGAACAGGTCTGTCAGCCGTCTGAATGACGCTGTCTTTCTGACAGACCTGTTCTTCACCTGAGGACGGCTGCTTGCGTTGTGGCCGAAACGTCGTGAGAATTATTTATAATGTTTTATTTTATTATTTTATTATTTCCATTCTACGTGACTTTACCGAAAGAACCAAGAAGATGAATCCCTGTAGTCACGAAAGCTTTAAATCGAGATACATGGAGTGTGCTCGTGAATCTGTAAATCATGACGCACGCTGCTGGCCTAAATTCTTTGTGGAAAATTACATCTTGCGTGTGGTCTGGCATTTGTCAACCCTACGGTTTGTAGAGGCTGTGTCAGTGGGAAAAGAGGCTTCAATCAAGGGTTCTCTCTGAAAGCACTTGCCCCATTTGACCTCAACAATCGGTGGGGGGGGGGGGGGTGAAAGGGCCAAAGTGAGACCTAAGCCATTTCCTTCAGCTGATAGGGTGAACTAGGTTTATCTGATTGATTGTTATAATCACATTTTCTCGTAAGAGTCCTTTATAGTGATGACACCATTAGGCACTGTCCTCTTTCTGTGTTCACTACGGCAATATGTTTTGAATTCTGTTTTAGATGGTGGTTTATAAGGGATAAGGACTTTTTGCTTGTATATATACGTATTCATATATACTATTGGCAACATGAAGAAAGTCAAACTGGCGAAATAGTAATTGTATTTCTTGTATTGTATTTTTGTAAAGTGTATTTTCTATAAGGGACATTAAAGAATATGTAGTTATTTTTACTTAGACTTGATTGCGTGTTCGTGTTATAATCTGCGTACGACTTACATAGATTAGCAATCATTAATTAAATGAAATGTTCTTTTGCGCATTTAAATTAAAGAAGAACTGCCCCTTGTATGTTCACATGGGTATCTGGCTTAAACACTGAGCTCTGATACATTAATTACATTACAGGCAAAATATAAATGCAAGTTGTATAATGGCTGTTGTTGTACCGAACATTGATGGTAACATCTTCTGAATGTCCTCAGGTCCGGCTGTATCCAGGCTCAACCCCATCGCAATACAGAAGGATATAAGGAGTACAAACCCACAAAACATTGCTATCGAACACCGAGATGGCCCGAACCAAGCTCAAAATTGAGGAGAAGCGACTGGACTTCGTTTTTGAGATCCTGAACGTGCAGTTCAACGAGAAGGGCCGCTACCAACTGCGCCTGATGGTTGAGAACCCTTTGCTGGAGAGCGCGGGCAAGGGTGTGATGATGCGTGAGGCGAGCTCCAGGGAAGTGTTGCGCACCAACGCTGTCTCCACCGATGTCCTGGAACAGGCCAACCTCACCGCCACCTACAGCTTCAAGAAGAGCAAGTTTGTCTTCACCCTGCCTGCAGGTTAGAGGGCTGGTTGCATCGGCGCTGTTTCTGCGACGCATTTCTTTTGAGGTTTCAATCTAACACGTAGGCTTTCGCGACCAATATTATTCATAATCAACGTTTTTGGGTTGAGATTGCGTTATTTATAAATGTGTCGTAACCCTCCACCACCCGACACGGCCAATCAGTAAAAAAGTGTCACGTTGACAAAAGACAAATAGTTCACTGCTTTAGCCCACCGGTGTGTTGAAGCGTGAAACCACAACATTTACAATTTGAATACGACGTTTCGCTGGTAATTGCATCCAGCATCATCGGGCAATTCGCCAGAATGGTGAGGCTCTGCTGTATCTCCCGTTCTTATATAGAGCAGCAGGGTGACGTCATCATTAACTCATCAGGTGCAAAGATTTGAGGGGTTTCAATCTGTGTAAAAAGCACACTAATTAAAGGGACGCCTCACACCGCTGCTGGCAACAAGGATCTCCACTTGGAGGGACATCTCTTGAGCCCCGTTACAGGGTAGTTTTAGTCTACTCTTCCACGTTTGGCAAGACGTCTTGGTTGTAATTGACGTTATGATTGGAATTGATATGCATGAAGATATATATGAACCTTGTGGCGGGACCCCGGGGTCCCGAATAAAGTCAAAATCGCAATGAATCTATTTCTTTTTTGGCGACTCCGTCCCACCGCGCACATAAACGCCGCGACCCGCCTGGCGCAGATCGTTCTGTTGTCATGTCGTCCAAGCGCAGCGGCGAGGACGAATGAGCAGAAGAAACAAAACTTTGAATTTTTGTTTAGTGCATCGTGTAGAGCTCGTCGAGAGGAATAGAGTGCCGCACCGTTCGCTTTCAACAGACATAAAATGACGTCGCAACGCAGTTTATGGGTCCCGCCATTGGGTTCATATGGTCTTTTTTGATGGGTAAGAAGAAATCATTTTCTAAATTAATGTTTATGTTTATAGAGCCAGATTGTAAGTATGTATGTTCAACTTATTTTGCACCATACATAGACAACAGTGCTAATCGGAAGTGCATGGGGAAGGACACCAAACTTAAAACAAAAATCAGTTCCAGAGAAATTAGTTTCCATTTCGAAAAATGTACTTATAATAGAAACTTACTTCATGGCATGTTTGTGCAAATTGCCTTTCGACCAATGCATGAATTAGGCCCAAATTGTCTACGTGTGAAACTAAAAGCAATTTGTGGAATTTACGTTTTTTTCTAAATGTAAATCTGAATCGTAACGTGTTTATGTAATTATGAATTTGACCGCGAGGTACTGTATACGCACACAAGTGTAGCATATAAGCCCATAATAATGTGTGGTGGGGAGAATAGAAATATATTTTGGCGTATGACCTTTTGGTACAAAATTGGTATGCCCAACCATTAACTGTTTTGATTGTATACGTAGGAGAAGCTATTTGCACAACTTGTGAACTATTTATTTCACAATATTAGATTTTTACTGGGCGTCGCGGGGATTCAATGTGTGTTCCGTCTAATTTCGTGCAGAATTTTAAACACTGCACTACTGCTCCACACGCAGGTGTTGAGTACACATGAATACAAGCATCGACTCTATAGGCAGTTGAGAACTTATTTTGAGAATCAATGCACATTACACATATCCCAGTGCAGAAAAAAAACACACCGCAATTGTAAAAATCAACAAAGATGAAAAAAACATGTTTTACAATACTCAAAAATGCATTTGATCTAAAATATATAAATTAACATAGAATACAAAAAAAACTGTATCATTTAGAACCACTATTTTTACATTTTAGTTTGTGGATAAATGCATCGACATGTATCTTTGTTACATTATCCTCTCAGCGCACTGTTCTTTGTTCAATGATTATTTATCAGCGCACACTACACACACACAAGTCGATAATGGTCCCGCTGTCTTCAATGCACGATAAACATCTCTCCGTGTGCTGCATTTGAAAAAAAAACTTTTTTTTAATGGTGTGCTGGACTATTTGTTGTTTGAACACACCGAAGTAGTTGATGATATATATATTTTGGGGGACACACACATCTTCTGGGTTCTTTCGGTAAAGTCATGTAGAAGGGAAATCATAAAATAATAAAAATAAAACATAATAAAATAAAATTCTCACGACGTTTCGGCCACAACGCAAGCAGCCGTCCTCAGGTGAAGAACAGGGCTGTCGGAAAGACAGCGTCCCAATGAACACCGCCAAGCTTGGAAGCGTATATTAAGTTGGGTTAGAGGAGGAGAAAGAACCAAGAAGATGAATCCCTGCAGTCACGAAAGCTTTAAATCGAGACACACACACACACTTTAACACTAACTTTAAATCATGCGTGGAATTAGATAGAGGGCAGACCAAATGAATGGGACAACAACGGCAACAAGAACGTTTCCAAATACATATTCCACAATCGTTGTGGATAGCTTTTTCTCGGTGGCGCATTCTCTGGCGTTGGTGTTTGCGTTTCTGTTCACGTTTCATCCACGCGGGTTTTTCCGCCGCTGCCTCTCACTCCAGCAGCACCGCGTGCAGTAGGAAACCTTCTCAGCTGCCGGCAATGTACGGACACAAACCCGCACAAAGGACACTAATAGGATTTGCCATCATCTTGGTTGCCCATTAATCCAGTTATCCATTTTCGTAACAGGATTACCCTTTTCTTGCAGAACATGCAAAAAAAAATTGTGTTGGCCTTGTATTTCTTTCATTTCGTGGTCATGAATGGCTGTTAAGTAAACACAATTAAGTTGCAGATGCGGTTAACAAATACTCGGCGCCTTTGTGACAAATGGTTATATTTGTATTTTTTTTTATTTTCTGAGTCAATATCTGGGTTCTATGGGGATTTCTTCTTAATTGTGACCTACGTTCACTCATCTGCATCATGTCACAAGGTGCGCTAATGGGCGCTTGTTGCGAGGACTCAACGGATGACATCTGCAGCTCAAACGCATACACAAAAGGCCATACCTCAATACTTAAAACGTTATCCAGCTCAGCATAGATCCTATTAACTAATACCACACGAGTAGCAGGTACAGCAATGCATTTTTAAACAGCCTATATCCAATTTTTATTTAAAGCTTTCGTGACTGCAGGGATTCATCTTCTTGGTTCTTTCGGTAAAGTCACGTAGAAGGGAAACAATTAAATAATACAAATATAAAACAATGAAATTCTCACGACGTTTCGACTGCAACACAAACAATCATCACCAGGTGTGAAATCCACAGCAAGAAAATTAGATTTTTTTTTATTAAAATGGCCACTTTGTTCAAATTTTCTTGCTGTGGATTTCACACCTGATGATGATTACTTGTGTTGCAGTCGAAACGTCGTGAGAATTTGTATTGTTTTATATTTGTATTATTTTATTGTTTCCCTTCTATGTGACTTTACCGAAAGAACCAAGAATATGAAGCCTATATCCATTCAACTATCTGAACGTATTCATGCGTTTTTAGATTAGGCAGCACTCGGTGAGGCTTGCTGTGAAAGTGAAAGAGCTCACACAAGTACTACAGCAGTCGTGAATTTATTGTTCATTAACGTTGGTACGAGGCACCGCTACTTCAACGTTTATCGCAGTGTGGCACAATGAAAGCGGCGTGCATTCAATAGCATCGCGAAACGATCACCAACTCCCCCAGGCTATTCTGTGCTGGATTGGACTTCTGTGTCGGCAGTCTGCAGGCTGCAACGCAGCCACGGTATTTGAACCACTGAAGGATACTTTTAAGTCCTGCTGATATGCATAATCAGTTTTAACCTCTAAAGAATGATAGAAATAGCGAGCGAGGCAATTCACGCTCATTTGAAAAACTTGCTATTCACAATTTAAGCAAATAATATACATCTCTGGCGGATTCATAGTTTCAAATTTCATTCTAAAATGTGTCATCGTTTTCTTGGTTCTTTCGGTAAAGTTACGTAGAATGGTTGTCATCGTTGTGCGTGACTCCTGCAGTCTAAGCACGTTGCCTATCACCAAATCATCCGCAACTAGCCTTTTGCCCGTCCAAGGACGGGTGAATTGCAATAAATTTGAAACTTGCAAGCGAAAAGCAGAACGCGACGTGATATTCATTGCATCACGTGACACAGACTTATTTCATTTAAAGGTGATAATCCCTTGTTCGTTAAGACGTCCTTTTTACTTTGATGTCTCAACAGCGTGACGGAGATCGCGTGACGTGAGGGTTCTGCCTTTGTAGTGAGGGTTGTCAGTTGACGCCGAGGAGGGGGGAGGAGGCGCCTCGCCTCCCCCCCATGTGGAGTGACATGACCCGCTAATTATTGGGGGGTGTCCATTTTGAAGACGTCACCTCTTCATGATTATTAATGAGGGGGGCTGTTCGATGTGGAGTGACGTCACCTGTTCATGATTATTAATGGGGGGGGGGGGGTCCATGTGGAGGACGTAACCTGTTCATTATTATTAATGAGGGGGGCTGGCCGATGTGGAGTGACGTCACGCGCGGGACACACAGACATTCTTGGCTCAGCAAGTAAAAAAAACCTGGATAGCGCCGTGATTACCGATCACCATTCATATCAGGTGTTACAGGCTGCTTCCGTCTCTCCCGCTGCTCCTCGCCATGCCCCCTGCTCCAGGCTTCTGCAAGAACGACAAGAACCACGACGTGCGCCTGCGGGCGGTGGCGACGCGCGTGGAGGGCCAAGAGCGGCAGCGCGCGGGCGAGGGCTTCTTCGCCATCTACCCGCGCACCGACACGCCGCGCATCAACCTGTACGCGCGCCGCGGCCAGGACCTGTACCGCTACCGCGGCGTGCTCGCGCTGCTGCGTGTGCGGCGCGACGAGCTGGCCATGCACTGCGGCCGCCTCGCCTACGAGGTGGCCCTGCACGAGCACAAGCCGCTGCCGCCACAGCCACCGCCGCCGCTACTACCGCTACCTCTGCCAGAGCCGGCGCAGAAGCACGAGGTCGAGTCTGACCCCGAGCGTGACCCTGATCGCGACTTGGATTCTCATGGGAAATCGAGAGAGGGGCCCGCGGTCGGGGTAGACGCGGCGTCAGCCTCGTGGGATTCGGCAGCGCGTCAAGATTCACCTGCCGGAGAGGTGAGTCTGCCAAGGGTGTCAAGTCCTGCTTGTTTGTTGTTGGGCTTCATGCGCATGGGATAGTTTAGTTCTCACAGTATGTTTTGAATCAGTCTACTAGCACCATGACGATCATCATCATATACCATGGAAAATTCAACTATGGATGGAGGCCTCCCAAATTGACCTCCATTTCTCGTGGTCCGGAAATGTAATTAATGAAAATATATCTGCGCTATTTACCCAAAGATGTATATCTCATAAACAAAATAGTATCAGTGAGACCACCCTGGGAAAATAAAAGACACTAATGTTAATATTATTATTTTAAAGACACCCACTCAATGTTTTTAATATAATTAACATTTCAGTCACATCGCAGTACAATTCATCGTGCAATATTTGTCAAAAGTTTTAGTTGATTTTAATCCATGGTGAACCGCGGGGTTAAGACTCTGTCACAAATTGCCTTTTGTACCTGTGGGCTGAACTGGAGTGGCTGCAAAAACTTCCAGGCACGGGGAAACTGTCCCGCTGGTCACAATGAAAATTGGATTTGAGCTGCAGTGGCAGAGTGATGTCTGTGGGGAATATCGTTTTAATATCCGTCAGAATTAACACCTGCGGACTGCAATAATAACGTCCTTGAAAATGGCCTCGGGCAGTATGGAGCGGCAAGAGGGGAAGGCAAGATCACCGAGCTGTGAAAATGAGGCTTGGCAAAAAAAAAATGTGCGGAGCCCTTGTGAAAATGCTGCTTGAAATATATATATTGAATTTTGTGATTGCTGCTAGTCATGAAACTTCTGTGATAATTGTTTTGCATGAATTAAAATGAAGGGAAATACAAGGAGCCATTAACGATGGCTATTTTTCCTTTAAACGGAAACGCCTTATAGAAAATACATTTTATAAAAAAAAATGTTTACTGTATAAAATGATTTAAGTCAAAATGGCAAGATGCCTATGGGAATAATATATATTAATAATAGAATATAATAATATAATATAATAATATTAATAATATATTATAATAATATATTATAATAATATAGTATATATATAATAATATTATATATATGCATCCTGTCCTTCACAAAGGGAGGCCAACCAACGTTGTTATGCATTCACCCGCCAATGAATCACACGTTAATTACATTTGGTGAGCAGATACAAATGCATATGAACACAATAGCAATGCACAATGTTATCGCTATTTGTTTCCAAGTCTGCGACGGGTTTCTCTCATCATTTGCAACAAAAAAGTGTTGGATTTGCATGAATGCAGATTGAGCAAAAATCATCTCCTTTCAAATATATTCTCCACTGATAGTTACTTCATCGGTAAAATAGCGAGTGCACATGTTGTGGCTTCGCTCTTACCTCTGAAACCGCTCCTCCCATGTTTCCGTACAAGGGGACAGTCTTCCTCTATACAGGCCCCAGTGCTCTCTGGTGGGTGTCCCACCCACAAGGTTCCATCCCTTGCACCAAGGAAATTTGCCCTGCATGAAATGAACACCTGCTCGTGGAGTTTGCATTAAGCAGTGCTGGACACGCACGCACGACAGACGGCTGATGAACTAGGCACGATGGATGTAAACACACTGAGATCAGCACACACGTGCACACAGACGGTATCAGAATATTGCTGTGTATAGACATTCGCTATGTTGTAGCAACAATTTTCTTTTCTTTTAAAGAGGCTCAACAAAGGGGTGATATCGAGATATAAATAACGTTAAACTCCATTGCAGAGTTAATAATAATACTACTACATTCTGCTGTATATTTATTATACGCACATAAATGGATACCCATTGAGAGCGAGTGTAAGTCAGACATCATGTTGAAATTACATGGACTATTGGCGGGACACGGCGCAAAGCAAAAACGATGGCAGATAAAAGATGGGACATGCCCGAAAGTACGACCACCACAGAGACAGAGCCATGAGATTGGTGCAAGTGGAGGAGTGAGATGGATTGTGGCATCACAAGACCACCGTGGTGGGATGGCGTCGGCATTGGGAGGGCCTTCGTCCAGCAATACATATTTATTTGGAACTGATTTTTTGTGTTTAGTTTGTTGTCCATCCCGCGCACCACCGTTCAGCACGGTTGACTACGTCCAGTGCGAAAGAAGTTCAACATAAATACAAATAGATGTCTGATGATAATAATCATCACCAGCAGCATCATAACCATGACCATTATACACCCGTTAAACCGTTGACCGAACGGACAAGCGTTGTCAGCAAGCACTTATTAATGCTTGCACTATATACAATAAGTGGCTGGCCATCGCGACACTTACCCACCATTGTCTGCCCAGTGCTAATGACCTACACTGTTTAAGGCTGAGTTGACCCAGGGGAAACCTGGGACGGTCCCAGATACCTGCTTGCCACCTTCTGGTGATCATGTCCAGAATTTGAACCCGGGTTGCCATGATGATCATAGCAGTACACAAATGACTGGGGCTGCCCTTCTCAAAAATCAACAGACGTGAGCACACACGCACATTCATTTTTATTAGTATAGTTCCTAGCAACCTCTAGCGTGGTTAAAGACAATAAACGTTTGACAACAACACACAAACATATAGCTAAATCAGTGCCGAGAGACACAATTACCATGTAAAAAAAAAGTATGGTGAAATTGTATTATCCATTAATAGAAGAGTTTATCGTTCAATTTTAAATTTTTGTTATTTATCGGCGTAGACTGGTCATGTGTCATTCGTGAGACGCCATGTGCTTTGATTGCGCTCGTCCGGGCCAGGCTGGAGGAGGAGCGCCTTGTCTTGCTTCGTGTTACCGGGGGGCATCCGCGAATACTTTACGGCTCCCAAGGAGCGTGATTGGTGAATATTTAATCACCCGGACACGTTATTATCAATCAGCCTGACACGACCGCATTTGATGGTGGGCTTTTACTTCTCCCCAGATTCACATAAACTGCAGTGTGGCGCGATTATTTACGGCTCTTGATGTGAAAATTAAATCTTTTTGGGGCATAAGTACCGTCAGAGCTGTGTACCTAATATGATTACTCCTGATCCAATGGGTAACAACGTTTTCTACAAAAGACATAAGACAAGAAACCTTTCAGCTACTTTATTGAATTGCCTTTACATTTTGTACATTAAATGGAAGTGGTCCTATTTTAGTTTGTTTTATTTGATGTATTGGAAGTCCATTGGCCGGCACTTTGTCTGACAGAATACACCAGTGGTGCGTTATTACTCGCATTTTGGTTCCTTTATCTTATCACCTATCTCGTGTTTTCTTTTTTTTGCTATGATTACAAAAATAATAATGAAAAATTGATCGGGGAACATGAACGCAGTTTTCTCAATTTTAACTGAAAAGGTCCCCCACCAGATGATAAAATCGGCACTGGTGTCTGGCTTTTTAATGACCACGGGTGGGGGCAGTGGCATTGTGACACAACATGGCCCAGTTCTCTATCTGTTTGAGATCTCATGCGAGCAAGCGGCACGAGCCGTCTCTGGATGCTTTTACCTGTAGATAAACGGCGCACTGTCCGTCGGTTTTTATCCATTCACATTCATCATCCCTTGGATCTGAATGGGATAAAAAAAATATAGACTTCTAACGGCATGCAGCGTCTGTTCTTGTGTGAAGTCCTAGTGGCGTTATTCATATTGAAACACAAGAAGGTTATATGTGTTAAAAGCAGGTGCCAAATAAATAGTGTTTGTGTCCTTTGAAACCTTGCCGTTTTGTCCAGCTAGGAAAGCCACAGTTTCTCCCCTGGATCTATTGGCATTTCAACTCGTGTGTAGCATTAACGTGCATCGTCGTTTTGCCTGTGACAAAATCACATGGAATGTGCCCATTCTCATCGGATATTGGAATCCAAGTACGATTCGTTCTTGGATAGTGCTCGGATGGGTGACCACCGTGCTTAACACAGGTGCTATAGGCTGCATATGCAGGGCTATGTGCAGGTCAGCAGAGACCAGTGCGGCAAAATGCACCGTTGTACTCTACATTCTAGGCTCCCGCCATTTATGGTTCACGCCTTCACCAATCCACGCTGACCAGCATGGTGAGGTATGGTAAAATAACCTCACATTTTTACTGGCACGGCATGGAGAGGCTCTCATCCAGCAGTGGATTGATAAAAAAGGACTGCTCCTTTACAAGTACGATGTCACTTTAAATGAGCACTTGTTAAATGGCGATGATCCAAACATGGACATTCGACATTTATATGGCAGGGCCAGTCTCCCTATGACCATTGATGACTTCCCACAGACTGAAGGGTTGATTGGCTTTTGGCTATGTCGACTTCCAACAGGAAGATGAACTTGCAACCTTCGGAGTGATTGCGAGTTGATTACTGCGTGTAATAGATAGTTTGAAATGTCAATATAACATTTTTGTATGCGAAAATGAACTCAACACGTTCGTCAATAACATTTCCTTAAAAACGAGAAATATATAATAGGCGGCGTTTCCGGCAATATCCGTTCCTCATAACGATCTTTAGCACTTAAATGTATGTGCTGTTAAGAAGGGTTATTGCCTGAAATGTCACATCATATATATATTTTCCTTTTAAGGCAGAGTTGTTGACAAATTGTACTTGTGCGCCACTGCCAACGCAGCGGTGCCACAACACACTTCGTTTACATCTTTATAATTAATGTCGGCATATTTTTTTTTATACATTTACCTTCAAAATGCAAGACATTCTGTGTTCAGGATCTGACAGTTTGCGCGTGTGGCCTGCAGCCTGGCCAGGAGCCGTTCGGAAACGCTTCCCCGTCACCTCCGGAGTCGGAAGAGGAGCAGGTCCCTCCGTCTCCACCCTCATCCCCAGAGCCACTCGGCCCCTCTCCGTGGCCTCGTGCCAGCGGGCCGCTGCGCATCGTTTCTCCTGACAGCGGTGCCGAGACCTCGCCCCTGCAACACGTGAGTTCTGCCAAATGTGGCAAGGCCGTAATTATAATATATATTGGGTCGGGACACACATCCCCCCCCCCCACCCCCAATATTCAAATATGCTTAAAATGCCCCCCCCCCCAATATATTGCTAGTAAATAGATTTCTGTTTATATGATTGTGGTTATGGTTGTACTTTATTAATCCCTAACCTCTGCCATTGCATACAATGAAACAAGAAAAGGTAAAAAAAGAAAAAACAGAGCAATGGAATACAATATACTATTAGACATTATTGTAAAACATAAATAAGAAGTCCATCCATATGTGTTAGTGAATTTTTTTTATATTTTAGGCAGGAAATTAGTTTTCAAATTTCGATTTTTTTTTTTCTGGAGGGGACCCCCAGACCCCCTGGAAGATTTGGTCTCCCCCAATGTTGACGCCATGGCTACGGACTTGAAATGCGGCCACCTGTATTTACAACTTCACGTTCTACTTCAGTGATCGTCAGCCCCCCCTTGCCCCCCCCCGCCACCGTGGTAATTGTTTGAACCTGTGTGCATGGGATTTGCTTATTAGACGCCCTGATTATTCATAAACCTGATATTGTAATCCAGAACGACTGGCACCGCGTGCATTCTGAAAATGTTAATGATTGTAATTTCCCCCAGGCCCGTGCAGAATTTTAATACATTGGGTCAATTGCACGGCGTATTTTTTGAATAATAGAGCGTTGAGACGTTTACAGCCATCTCCTCTAACCGTTGAGATGTAGGGTAGCGTGAATGATCAGAAGTGATTTTTTTTTCAGCAGCAGCATGAAGATAGGGTGCACTTGGAAATAGTCGAATTAAAGCGTAGAGCCATTATTAATGCAAGTACACTTGTGTGGTGGACACTCCCTCGATGAATAAATCAATTTAGCTCGGCGTCCATTATACAAGACGCTCCCAGCGGAGTCGTGCCCGATTTCTTTCCTTGGAGGTCTAAGTGCCGATGAATTCGGGACTGATTATGTTTCACCTCTGAATTTCAACGGCGACAAAGGTCAGCGCGATCACTCACACTGGGCACGGTTGGCTGGCAGGTCCCGCTGAACACAAGATTCGCGTGGCGTTGGGAAAGTCACAGTGGCCCAATGTGGGCCAGAAAGCGTTCGGATTAGGGGTAGCGCACGGCTAATGGCAGGGGATAATGAGCACGTGTGCCCTTCTCTCCGCCGACACACCACGTCCTCAGCTCCCCTCGGAACAACGTGTGTTTGAATTGGTAAACAGCTTTCAATAAATGCTAAATCCATCCCCGTGAGATTGATGTATTCTTCTTCTCACTAACTCCTGGCTATTCGACTTCGTCTGCGAGAGGAAGTTGAGCCTGCAGCGGGGTGGGCAGGGTGGGGGGGGGGAGAATTTGGGACTTTTGTAAAACAAAAAATATCTTGCTGGATCGTCCGTCATGTTGCTGTGTAACGTCAGCCAGAGAAAGCAGAGGCATCGCCAGGGAAAAAGTAAACATCGAACGTGAAAATGATAATGCTGCAGGCAAGGGGTGATTTCTGGACAGCGACAATTTGCGCCATTCTCCCATCATTACACATGCAGTGTGGCAATGTCACATGACATGCAAGGCGATTGTCACAATCGTACCTTTTGCTGTCTGAAAGTCACATTTTTGTGGGTGCGCAACTACGCCTTTTCGTTTCCAGCCTGCTTGCACTGCTCGGTTTGGTGGCTTTCCCATTTTTTTTTTATAGAAAGCTCTATATTAGAAAAGGAAACATTCAAACTAATGGCAAAACGTTCCTGTGGTCGGTTGACGTTACCTTCTAAGATGTATTCGGTGACAAAGACCTACACGTACAGCGAGGTTGCATGCAACTGAGCGATGCACCTTGGCCGAACTGCTCAAGTGATATCGCAATGCATCTATTTTGAAAACTATAACAGCTTCACCTGGGGTGCACGCACCCCTTGGGGGTGTGAGATGCCCTTTCTGAGGGCGCGAGACATGCCACATTTTTTTAGAAGGTAACAAAAATTAAGCACGGGCACATAAGGTACAACTACTTTGTTTTTATCAAACCTATGTATTAATTAACATTACACTTTTTTTTACGATTGAGAACCAAAGGGGTTGCAAGGCTGCAGCAAAGGTAAAGAACCACTGCATCATAGCTTTGACAGTGGACCCTGATTATTTTTTCTTTTAAGTTTATGAGCACGAAACAGGTTGTATATTTTATTCGCTTGCGTTCGACAACGTGTTGAAAACAAAATTCTCTCTAACACACATCGGCGGTAATGTGAAAGTGCATTTAAACACTAAGTTACAATTTATTGGCACTATAATGACCCACATTCACTATACATCCTTTATTTTTGTACTCGTAATGTTATTGCGGTGATTTTTTAACGTTTATTTCCAGTCACTGATATGATGTTACTATGTTTGTGAACATCACAATTAAGTAAATGAATAATCACCAAATAGTATTTTGAATGTTATTTTTTCGAGGAATACTGTAGCAACAGTTTTTGACAGAGCGTTTTAAAAATTGCAAATGCTTAACTGCATTAGTGTGCAGAACATAATTCAATCTGAATTAAGAAGGTAACATTCCTGCGGAGGGAGATGGTAGGAACGTTGGGTTGCTCGGTCAATGGCCAGGGTCAACGGCGGCGTGGTGTATTCCGCAAATATGCCAGACTTTGAGGGCGGGCACAAGCCGGCTTGAGTAGGTTAAACGTTGAGTTTTATAAGGGCACCACGGGGTGACCAGCCCCTCTCCACCCAGCCCCACCCCTCCCACCCCCCACCCAGCCCCACCCCTCCCTCCCACCCCCCACCCAGTCCCACCCTCCCCACCCAGCCCCACCCTCCCCATCCCCACTCTCCCCACCCAGCCCCTCCCCACCCTCCCAATCCAGCCCCTCCCCACCCTCCCCTCCCCACCCCACCCAGCCACACTCTCCTCACCCAGCCCCACTCTCCTCACCCAGCCCCTCCCCACACTCCCCTCCCCACCCAGCCCCTCCCTCCCCACCCAGCCCCTCCCTGCACGACGGACGGACATACTACTCCCCTGTGGGCTGGTGTAACCAGGAGGTTCCAACCAGTAATATGTATTTAGAGTAATCGGGTGCTATACATTTCCACATGATACGCAACTTAGTTCAGCTATCATTTGTGGTCAGGTTGCTTCTGATAACGAACCAATGGCTCAGTGGCCTTTTCCTGGTAAAATAAATTTAGTGAATCGTTGTAAGCAAAATGAACAAGGACACAGTAGCTAATTACCATTATTGAATGTTGACTTCAAGCTTTCGTGACGGCCGGAATTCATATTCTTTGGGTCTTTCGGTAAAGTCACGTAGATAGGTTCAAAGAAAATAACATAATAACAAAAAACTACGACAGATCGATCGCAACACAAGTGGTCGTCATCATGCTATCTAATAGGACTGATGACGACCGCTTGTGTTGCGATCGAAACGTCGTAGTTTTTTGTTATTTTATTTGAACCTATCTACGTGACTTTACCGAAAGACCCAAAGAATATTTATACCATTATTGACCCTGAAGTATTTTTGAGGAAATTCCACATTTGTTTCGCATAAGCCAGTTGACTTTCCACAAAGTGGTACTACTAATTTTAAGGACCCTTGAGAAATGATGGGCTGACTAAGCCTATAAATGGGATTGCAATTTCCAACCTAATTGCCCGAAACGTGACCGATTATACATTTATTTGATTTTCAGTGAGCGTTATTTATTGATTTATATGTTGAGCTTTTATTATTTGTGCTTGTGCACCGCTGCCAACACCAGCATCAGTTTCTTTCACATTCAAATATCGAGCTTATTTGCATTGCGAATGCATCCGTCTCTGGCAGCAGCAAGTGCTTGCTTAAACCAAACAAGAAGAGCCGAACGTGCTGGGTCACAGCTGCAGCAACTCACGTGTTATTAACGCCTGCAAATGCCCGGTGCCAAAGCCATTATTACTGGAGCCTGACAACGAAACACAATTGGCATGGCTAACCACGCTTGTCATAATATTACAATTGTGGAGTTTGTCGTTGATATTTCATTACCATTTCGCATGCTTGTGTGGGCCGGAGCATTGGCACACTGGTTAGTGCGCTGCGCTATGAACCCAGACAGCTGAGTTTGATTCTCTGCCATGGTTAGCATCAGTGGCAAGTCGTATCATGCTCTCTCCCCTTTACCTACCCGCACGGACCAGCGTGGTGAGGCAAAGTGAATAAAACCCCGTGTCTGTTATGGAATAGGCATGCTTTCAGATTGAGAATGGCAGGCATTAGTCAATTAATGAAGCTATTTGTTTATTTATTGCGCTGATGCACAATATCATTTGTGCTGTTGTCTCTCGTAACTGACTATGCAAGTTCCACAGTAGTTCTCGTCTGGATAGTTCGAGGCATGCTGATAATTCCTTATGAGGGGTGAAGCACACGCATCTGTGCGATATTGCAAACGACGCTTTACATTATTGCAAAGGACAATTGGATGAAAGATTGAGCTGTGTTTTTTTCCGGCGAGTATATCTTATCTTGATTGTTTTTTTTATCCTCTATATTTGCTATTATATTTGTGATAGCGTTATGCACTGTCAGGGGATGCTATGGGTTTCTTGATAGTTTTTGCTGTCGTCTCTAATTGCCAAGGTGTGCAACTTCAGCTAAGGAGGAAAGACATACAGCATCAGCTGCAGGCTGCACAACGTAACTTAAGTGGATATCTTTATTAGGTTAGCATTTCCCTCTCTGCCAGATTTAGTCGAATAAGAATTGTAAGCTTGCAAACATGCCTCAGTGACCAATTAAAATCGTAACAAATCTTGCATAAAAAAATGATTTCTACAAAATGCTGCATTAAAGCCTTGCTTGCTGTATGCGCTGGAATACAACAAATGGCAAGGTTTCTAACGGTTCCAACCCAGGCCCCACGGATGCTGCCCTGTAATTGAAAGGCAAAGCGGCCAATTGGCACTCTAATGGTACGTG